ATGTTTTGGATTTTACCTTCTAGTGATTCCAGTCAGCACAATCAGTGGTAGGTTGTGAAAGTTTCCTACAAAGTATCTGTTGAGCACAAGTTTATCCGCTCCCAATAAAATAATTTTGAAGCTGATAAGGAACAAGCCCTTATTCCCAGTTAGGATATCTTCTTTTGTGCCTGTCTGAAGTTGTTATTTTTTTCCTTCAGGTCATCTCTGGGATAATCTCTGCCTTTTTCAGTTTATCTTTCAGGTTTCAGGAATAGCATTGATTTATTTTCTAGATGTTGAATGAAGAACTTATGGAGCCTTGGTTTTCATACACCATTGAGCACTGAGTGCTGAGCACCTCCGAAGGTGGATTCCTGCCTTTTATAATTGACCATTCAGGTCTTTTCTTTTGTATGTACATGGACTCCTCAGGAGCTTCTTGGATAACTAGATTGTATCTAAAACCCACCTTGTTTCTTGCTCCATAAGGAAAATCTGCCTGTTCTGCCTTTTCTGCAGACTTACCATTAGATTGGCAGTAATTGCCTTGTCTTGTCTTGTCTAAGATGCCTCCATTTTGAATAGGATGAAACCTAGCAATCTTAAGAGTGGAAATTGAGAGCTGAAAGAATTTGTCGACAATGAAGACAATGGGGTGTTAAGTTTGGGAAAAGGCAAATCCAACCTGGTCCAATTACAAAACTTTGTTTTTGAACATTGACTGCATTGTTGCTCTACTTTAAATTGTGTTCAGAGAACTTTCTATTACAGCACTAGTCTAATTCTCTATGTATTAGGCAAAATTAAACTATACCTGCATCTTGCTTGAACCAACACTGAGCAGACGAATGCAAATAGAATTCTCAGGTCTTCTGAGTGCCTTTTTATCTGCATAAAAACCATTAAAAGCTTTAAAGCACACAACTTACCAGAAGCTCTTCTCAGCCCATCTGTTGCAGATGTATAGCCAATGCCTCTTTTCCCAGTGCTAAATATGATGCTGGACCTTTGGATTTTTACCCTAGGTTTAAATGTGAATATTTATTTCCAGTGCACCCGTTTTCCCATAGGATTTCTTCATCAATTCTGAACGTGGATTGAATAGTTGAGAGATGCCACCTCACATTTCCATGTTTTTTTTGTTTTTTGTTTTGCAGGAATGAATGTGTTAAAATGAATAGTGACAATTTGCTAGGATTCTGTGATTAAGTACTCAAGACACATTTTCAAGTTTAATTTCTAGGTGTAAAGTTTTGTAATGGTGCTTTGTACAGTATGTATTCTATTTTTTGCACATAGGTTCAGTTTCTCTAAACTGATTTTTATTTTTACCAAACATTTGTGTTTGTACTAGAGTCCAGAGCACAGATTTTTTTTGTTTTTTGTTTTATTTTTATTCTGCAACACTATCATTAAACCTGTGGTGCAGTTAAACTGGCTGCATTAACAGAAGGAACTTGTGCTTTTGTAATCACATTTGTAATGTAGCATGACATCACTGCTACAAACTTCGAACTGCACTATATATAGTTAACAGGTTCAATTTGTACTTAAGACATACTGTTTATTTAGAAGATTTCTGACTCTGCCAAATCCTAAAAGTTCTGTCCTACTAAAACAAACCTATATTTGGTATACTTCCTTCTGCCACAAACTGACACGTTTCAGTTCCATTTCTATTGTATTTATTACAGAATGTGTTTAGCATTGATATTGTATTTTCACCAAGCTGTTACATGAGCTTTAACAATACATCTGTATAAATTTTTTTGAGTATGTACCCATGCAGAAATTGAGCAATAAAATTGAATGCTGTTTGCACTGTCACAGCATCAAAGGTTTTAAAAGTTGTTTGTTTTTTTACTTTTAAATAACAAGTGATCTTAGTAGTTTTAAGAAATCACAGAAGTCCTGCAGAAACTGAGCAATAAAATTGAATGCTCTTTAAAAATTGTTTTTTTTTTAAATAAAATAATCGTGATTTTCTTAGTAGTTTTAAGAAATCACAGAAATCCTGTATAGGAATACGGCTAACCTTGGAGGCATCATTCCACTGTCCATTGGCTGATGTTGACTTTGAGTTTCTATGTCAAATATTTACATTTGTAATTTTTTTAAAGGGGAGAATACAGTCGGTAAGGTTTTCTGCTGCGTTCCTGTTTTTGTTGTCACATTTTTAATACCCTGCTGAGATCAAATTCTGCCATTTGCAGAAACTAAGATAGAAGGAGAAAGGGGAGGTTTTTTTCCACCACTATATTCTCAGAGACAATGTGTGTGTTCAAAGCCTGGCAACAGATTTCCCTTTCAAGATTTTTCTTTCTACATGTCTTGGCATTGTATAACTCAGAGATATTACACAAAATATTATCTATTTGTACTATTCAGATTGCTGAGTCCAGCACAACAGTAAAAATGTGGAAGAACAATTATAATCACTTCACCCTAATCGTCATGATATGGTAGTTGAGGTGTTAAAATAGCAGCACTTTATAGGTGAATATACCCTGAAATATTTTTTTTTTTCAAATAAAAGAGCTTTAGATTTTCAGCAGCAAAAGTTTCTGGTGCCCCTTCTTTTGCAAATACAAGGAATTTTAATTGCACGTTTGGCCTTGATATAGCAAAATGTATTTATTTGATTTATAAGATCACTCAACTTAGCACTGATTCTGGATAATGTATAAATTAAAATTAAATGCAATACCTTAAAATAAGAACCAACCATAATACACCTAACCATATGAGGAAAAAACCTACATACACTTGCCAAACTATACAATATACACTAAATGGACACACCACCAGTCTATCCCAGAGCTAAGACTTCAATGATTGTGAAAAAAGGCTTGCAGAATTGGGTGGTTTGAACTTCTGGGGAGATGCAATTCAAGAGAACAGGTGCCGTGGCAGATATGGGACACTTTCTGGGTCCCATCAGATGGCATTGGTTAATAAATGAATAGTACTCAAAACAGGCCAGCTCTGTCACATGATGGGAGAGCAATGGTCCCTCAGCCACTCCCTATGCTAGAGTTTTGCAGGGGATAACTGGCATCTTGAATTGCAACCAGTTCATTGGCAATGGTTAGCAGAGGTGGGAATGACCACAGAAAGGCGAAACTATAATTGCTCATGCTACTGCATTCTGGATTAACTGTAGCTTCCACATGAACTTCAAATACAGCCTTACATAGAACTCATGGAAAACTGTGAGAAGAAAACACTCCAGAAAATGGTGCAATCGGAGCATCAGATAAGCTGGTACTTTCCTGATCACAGCTGCCACCTTCTTATCAAGCAGGAGCCATGCACCTAAGAGAGCAATAGCACTTAGACTTATATACCACTTCATAATGCTTTACAGCCCTCTCTAAGCAGTTTACAGTCAGCAGATTGCCCCCAACAATCTGGGTCCTCGTTTTACCAACCTTGGAAGGATGAAAGGCTGAGTCAACCTTGAGGATGATCCTCAATTGGGCACCAGTTGTTAAAGGAAGTATAACCTGATACATAAAGATGGAGAACCACAGTATAACTGTGAAGCCATAGCCACTTGGTTTTGCCAGGGTTAAACAGAAGCCTGTTCCTACTCATCCAGATCCAAATAGCCTTTGGGCACAAAGAACAAGGTATCTATTGCTATACAATTTGGGATGAACACCCTTTGGAAGGTGAGGGAGTAGGAATGGATTTCCAGGGGGAAAAATTGCAGACAACAGGAACCAGGAGCGCTACTCAGGTGAACCGGAGGACAGAGATAAACCTCCAAGTGCTTCAACAACCCTCTAAAATGATGAAAATTACTAGCTGTCTGCAAGGAATATCAATCCTTCCATTCCCCACTATCCTGTCAGAAGCTTCTTGGATGAGAAGCAAAATGTCTTCAAAAGAAAAAACTGGAAAGTCCAGTTGCCTCCTGAAAAAAAGCACCTTTGGGACAACCATGTCCTGGATGATTCAGAAACTCTACAGACTTTTAACAAGGTATCTGGTTGAGTATTAGCAGCATACTGCTACTACTTGACTCCAGATCAATGCATGTCCTCAACCAGTGGTTTTAGTGTAGCTATCCTACAGGAGAGGAGAGTGTCAAGCCTTGTGGCACTCCACAAACCAGTGGATTTGGATTGGACCTCTCCATATCTGACAACAGATGGACATGGAATTTGCCAAATGACTGGAATTTGCCAGAGAAAGAAGCACTGCAACACCGTTTCCCAAATTACATCTCAGCCAATACATGGATGAGCAGGCTAAGTGTTTCTACTGTAGAACTTGCCTAAACCCAGCTCTTACAGCTGGCCTACTTTTAGTTTCACTCTTTAAAGAGATTTATCTCCAATGGATAGGAAAAGGTATGTTAAAAAGTTTTTCTCACATTTTTTGCCTAAGAAAGAAGATACAGCCATCTAAAAGCATAGCTCTGCAGAGAAGAACTTTTCCCAACAATTCCATTAGGTAAGTAATATTTATAACAGATCTCCATTATCCATTACTACCTGGAGAAATAAAGATAAAGAGTCCCGAAGATTCTTCATCTAATAAAGTATATGAGATACAATACTCATAAAATGTTATATAGTAGAAAAATTCTCCAACAAGCAACTAACTATGTGTTTCAGTAGAAAACCAAAGGGCAGGATGAAACAACAGGATTGACATATAAGACATGGTTAGGGAATACCTCTTTGCCTTGAATGACTTCCAAATTAATTGCATCTTACAGTGCTGTTGGTCTAGCTAACACTTTATATATAATTAAGAACATCTGGTAAATTAGACAAGGGCCAAATGAATGAGAAGAGCAAATATCGCCATCTTCAAAATGGAGGAGGAAAAAAATACAGCAAACTATGACCAGTCAGGCAAGTTTGACAGCGATACCTGGGAATATTCAAGTGCCATAACCTACAATTTGTTTTTGTTTTGCTTTTTACATTAGCCCAATCTGTGATAGCAATTTACAGGAGCAAAATAGAATTTGGCCACAGAAGTTACACTCGGAGATAGTTGAATTTTGATTATAAGGAAGCTAATCTTTATTGACAAAGTCTTTAAAACCATTTGTTTTGAAAATATCAGTGCAATATTTTCATAACATCAACTTAATCTTGGTCTTGGGGCAGGAAACTAAACCACTAATTTTATAGTTTTGATCCCGGTCTCCTTGAAAAAAGCCATATAGATATGATACAAGCATGCCAGGCTTTTAAAGAAACAGATAGTTCTTGCTGCACTGAAAAGAAGCCACCAAGAGTCTGGATTTCAGCCGATCAGCTTCTAGTTCTCGGAAAAACAAATCATCATCATCATGTGTGATCATGTCCTGCAGTTCTTTAATCTCTTTCTCCAGCTTGGATCTCAGTTCACGTTTCACTTTACTTAATGTCTGAAAAGAAACCATTAGGATTATGCTGAGCCATTTCCCTATTCAATTATAGTTCTAAAACTTTACAGGAAAAGTGCGCATAGTTCTCAGGCTGAGCAAAATACTCCCAAAAGAGGTTGGGCCATTTATTTATTATAGTTTTAAATATAATTAAATCTATATAATAATTTCCCCCCTTGCCAGATTAATAGCACTTAGCGATAGCACTTAGACTTATATACCGCTTCACAGTGCTTTACAGCCCTCTCTAAGCGGTTTTACAAAGTCAGCCTATTGCCCCCAATAATCTGGGTCCTCATTTTACCAACCTCAGAAGGATAGAAGGCTGAGTCAACTTTGAGCCGGTCAGGAGCGAACTCCTGGCAGCGGGCAGAGTCAGTCTGCAATACTGCATTCTAACCACCGCGCCACCATGTCTTCTTGTGTACAAATTCAACTGCAACATTTGGGAGTCACCTTCAAAGCGCTGAAGAAAGAATGCAGATTTCCTCTCTATGGGAGAAGACTTACCTGGGTATGTGCTCGCTCTCTGGTTTGGATTTCTCGACGTTCTTCTGAAACAGCTTCAGCCAGCATTGCAAACTAAAGGAAAGTGAAAGAAAAATTAGTAATGGACTGCGATAGATTAAGCACCATCTTTATGATATCAAAAGGAAGCCTACCTGATCTTTGTAATAGTTTTCCATGGATTGCAGTTCATCTTGATACTGCTTCTTTTGTTCAGCACGTTTTTCCTTGGCATATGACCTCAACTCAAGAAATCTTTGCTTTTGAATTTCCAAGCCTTCTTCAAACAGTTGTTTAAATATCTACCAAAATGACATTCCATTAACAAGCATAAGAACAGCTTTGTTTAAAAAAAATAATTTCAGGGGAACTTAACTATTTTTAGACACAGCCCAAGTCCAACTTTGTCACAAAGTCATATGCAGTGTATAATCTTAGTTTCCCTTTTGACAATTTTAACTGACGGTGGCTTTGTCTCAATGAGCGCTATCCAGCCACTTTATAGATAATTCCTTATTCCCATAGGAAATCCTTCTATCCTTATCAAATTATCCTTGAGCAGAAATGGAAAACTCATTGGGAGTTGTAACACTTACTATAAAACTTTGCAGATTAGGAACTTCATAATATAAAATATGCTACAAGATCAAAATTCTTATTCTATGCCCTTGTGATGCAAAGGATGTAACAATTGGGACTGTTGAATTGTTTAAAAAAGCTAGCAAGAGGGAGCAGCAATAACCCAAGATGTTTTCCATAAATAATCTACTCTTCATCAACCTGAATCACAATCAATCAAATCAATTAACAGATCATTTCCTTTCAACTAGTTAATTCACTATGTTTATGCATATCTACCTTTTATTGAACTCCCAGGACAGTAGTCCTCGATTTATGACCACAATTGAGCCCAAAATTTCTGTTGCTAAGCAAGACAACTGTTAAATGAGTTTTGCCCCATTTTAATTATTAAATGAATCAATGAAGTTGTTTCATTAGTAACATAGTTGATAAGTGAATCTGGCTTCCCCATTGAATTCCCCAATGCTTATCAGAAGGTCACAAAAGGTAATGAAATGACCCTGGACACTGTAATCATCATCAATACCTGCCAGTTGCCAAGTGTCCAAATTTTTTTTTTTTTTTTTTTTATTGCAAAAGTTTTACAATTACATTTTCACCCCTTTTTTTCCCCCCCCCACCTCCCTCCCCAAACTTCCCGTCCTCCCTAACCCTCCCTAACCCTCCCCCCCCCCAGACTTCCCTATTATGTACTCATAACTAATAACACTGATATATATACCTGAACCCATCCCTCCCCCTACATAATTTTCCCTCTTTGTCTCTTTATATTAAAATATTTCTAATACATTGTTTTCAAATAAAAGCTATTTGATACTTTCTAATTTGGTATTTGTTCTGAACATATTCTATCCACCTTTTCCATTCCCATTCATAAGTCTCTTGTGAACAATCTTTTAAATATGCTGAAATCTTCGCCATCTCTGCAAAACTGGCCATCTTCGAAGTCCATTCCTCGATAGTAGGCAAAGCTTCATTCTTCCAATATTTACCTATCAACAATCTTGCTGCTGTTATCATATACAATATTAATTTTGTTTCATCCCGTGTAAAACCCTTAACTATGCCCAATAAAAACAATTGTGGAGAAAATTGAATTTTTTTCTTCAAAACATTCTGCATGACCCACCATATTTTTATCCAAAAAGCCTTAACTTTCCTACAGGTCCACCAAACATGATAATACGTAGCATCCAAACATTCACATCTCCAACATTTTGGCTGAACATTAGGGTACATACATGACAACTTTTTAGGATCTAGATGCCATCTATAAAACATTTTATAGAAATTTTCCCTCAAATTCTGCGACTGTGTAAATTTAACATTCTGAACCCAAATTTTTTCCCATGTTTCCAACATCACTGGTTCTTCAAAATTTTGTGCCCACTTAATCATACAATCTTTAACTAATTCCGTTTCTGAATCCCTTTCTAGCAAAACATTGTAAAGCCTTTTAATATGCATTGGACCTTTCTCTCTTATATGTCTAACCAATTCTTCCTCATGCAACATAATACCAGTTTTTTGGTCCTCTTTCCATCTCAGTTGTAATTGATTATATTGTAACCAGGTTAAATTAATCCCTTCGTCCAACAGTGTCTGCAATGTCTTCAACTGCCATCTGCCCGCATCTGTAAAAAGAACCTCTTTGTATAAAAACCCCCCGAGTGACATTATATTTGTATTCCACAAAGTATGACCAAGATCCAGCCATAGCGGTATTTTATAATCCCATTTGAGTCGGTGCTTCTTCCAAACTCTCATCAAAGAGTCTCTAAGTATATGACTTTTAAATACTTTATCGACTTTGTCATCATAAAATAGGTAAGCATGCCATCCAAATTCAAGATCAAAACTTTCTGCATTCAATATTCCAGCCTTTTTACTTCCAAACCAATCACTTGTTAAAGTTAAAGCTGCTGCATCATAATATAACTGTAGGTTTGGAAGTTTAAGGCCTCCTCTTTCTGGAACATCTTGCATAATTTTCAATTTCACTCTCGGCTTTTTCTCGTTCCAGACAAACTTATTAAGTCCAGTTTGCCAAACTTTCAGTTGTTTATCACTTTTAAGCACCGGAATCATTTGAAACAAAAACAGAAATCTTGGCAAAATGTTCATCTTAACTGCTGCTATTCTTCCAAGTAAAGACAGTTGCAGCTTTTTCCAAGTCTCCATGTCTTTCTGAGCCTCTCGCCACAACACCTCATAGTTATTTTGAAACAATTTCATGTTTGATTCTGCAACCTGAACTCCAAGATATTTTACCTTAGGTACAATTTCAAAACCTGCCCTCCTTTCAAACTCATGTTTACGATCTTGTGTCATATTTTTGACTATCATTTTAGTCTTTTTTGAGTTCACTCTGAAACCTGAAACTCTACCATAGTCTTGTATAATGTCGTTCATCAAGATTATTGATTCCATTGGTTGTGATAGGGTAACCACCAGATCATCTGCAAATGCCTTTACTCTATAATCCTCTTGCCTTATCATTATGCCTTTCAAAATTTTTGAGTCCCGTATTGTATTTAGCAAGACTTCCAATGTTAAAATAAATAAAAGTGGGGACAACGGACATCCCTGTCTTGTTCCTTTTTCAATTTTAAACTCTGTCGTCAAACTTCCATTAATAATAATCTGTGCTTTTTGCTCTTGATAAATTGCTGAAATTGCCTGTGTAAACTGGTCCCCAAAGCCCATCTTTTTTAAAGTCTTTAGTAGAAAATTCCAATCCACTCTATCAAAGGCCTTCTCCGCATCCAAAAAGACCAGCACTGCAGAAATCTGTTTATTCTTATCAAGATATTCCAATAAGTCTATTACTTGCCTTACATTGTCCTTCATGTATCTACCCTCAATAAATCCCGCTTGGTCCTCATGAATCACCTTTTGGATTACTGGCATCAACCTGTTGGCTAATACCTTCGCGTAAATTTTATAGTCTGTATTCAAAAGAGATATTGGTCTGTAGTTCTCTGGTTTTTTAGGACCAACTTGTTCTTTTGGTATCAAAGATATATAAGCAATTGTCCAGGATGGGGGTATTTTACCCCCTTGTTGAATATTGCAAAATAAATCTCTAAGTTGTCCCACCATTTCAGCTTGTAAAGTTTTATAGTACACTGCAGTCAAACCATCCGTGCCAGGAGCTTTGGCTGTTTTTAGCTGTTTAATTGCTGCTGTTATCTCCTCCTCTGTTATAGGATAATTCATTCTTTCCTTTTGTTGATCAGTAATTTTTGTAACTCTCTTGTCCTTTAAATATTTTTCTATAAGTCCATTCTGCACCTCATCTTTGGCATATAGTTTAGTGTAATAATCCACAAAAGCTTCTTTAATTAGTTTTTGTTGAAAGATTTCTTTCCCTCCAATATCAATACTATCAATAGTCCGTATACTTTGTTTTTTCCTCAATGTGTAAGCCAACCATCTGCCCGGTTTATTAGCATTGCAAAATGTATTATGCTTCGCATATTGTAAACTTGTTGCAACTTGTTCCGCCATAAGCATTTGGAATTGATCTTTCAAAAGTTTTATAGCACTTCGTATTCTTTCATCTGTTGGGTTTTTAATAAGTAACTGTTCTTTATTCTTTATTTCCATTTCCAACTCAGATCTTTTCTTTTGTCGGAACCGTCTATGTTTAGAATTCATGTAGATAAGTACCCCTCTCATATAAGCTTTACTTGCATCCCAAACAATTTCAACTGGGGTACCTTTATTCAAATTTATTTCAAAAAATTCTTTCAAATGCTTTTTAAGTTCTATTATATTTTTTTCATATCTAAACAGGTTCTCATTTAATCTCCAAGAACGTCTCTCAACCTTATCCATCTCGATTTCTATCCATACAGGACTATGATCAGTCAAAATTCTTGGAAAAATCTTTGTTCTTTTTGTCTTAACAAGTAGATCATTTGACAACAAGATAAAATCAATCCTAGAAAAAGATCTATGTCTATCAGAAAAAAAAGTGTAATCCAATTCATTTGGGTTATGTATTCTCCAAACATCTTTTAGTTCCATATCTTCTTTCATATCAAAAAAGGTCTGTGGTAATCTAATTCTAGACTTTGCCAAGCTCTTTTTATCTAATTTAGAATCAATTACTCCATTCCAATCTCCCATAATTAAAATAGATCTATAGTCCCATTGCAATATTTTAGTATGTAACATCTTGTAAAAATAATCCTGTTGTTGGTTGGGAGCATAAATTCCAATCAAAAGAATTTGTCCATTTGCTGTAAACAATTCAATTGCTACAAATCTACCATCTTGATCTACTTCTATAACTTTTGCTGTTAATTTTTTATTTACATAAATAACCACACCATTCTTTTTCTGCGAAGTTGAAGATATATAATGTGCTCCTAGTTTTGAGTTTATCAAATATTTTTGATCTTGAGTTGTAATGTGCGTTTCTTGTAAACATATTATATCATTATTAAATTGTTTCAAATATGTAAATAATTTTTTCCTTTTCTGTGCTGAATTCAACCCATTGACATTCCAAGATAAACACTTAAAGGTCATTAACCTCTTCATGGAGCGCGGAGCAATATGCTTGAAGTTCATCCACAAGCTTCGATCTCGCTCCTCCCATAGCGCCAATCTCTTGTGCAGTGCTCTTAACTGCCTTCTTGTCTTGTCTTTCCTGTTGTTGTTGTTGCTTCTGTTTAAGTAGCTTGGATTGAGCTCTAGTTATACGTTGATCTTTAACTTCAGTCAACTGAATCAAATCCAAAATTGGAGAAGAATCCAGCGATGGCTCGCTCAGAATACCTCCTTCTGCACCTTGCACGTTTTCTAATTCCTGCTTAGACTGTTCTTTCAATTGCCTCTCTTCACTCTCCTTAATCTCCAGAACTGTAGATGTACGTGGAGATGGTGTTCTTTCCATAAGAATAGTACTGTAAAAGTGTTGCGCCTTCTCCACGGTATTCAACCGATATCCTTCTCCCTTATATCTGAAAATTACCCCAGCTGGTGCATCCCACCGGAAGGGTATCTGTAAATTTTTCAATTCCTTAACAAGAAAACCAAATTCTTTTCTAGCTTTCAGCATTTTAGGAGGTAACTCTTTAAAAATTACAAGCCGTGAGCCCCCCACTTGTATAGAGGTGTGGAAAGATTTTTGCAGGATATCATTTCTAATTTCTCTCTCAGTAAAGTATATGACCACATCTCTGGGTAGTTGTCTTTGCCTGGCCACCCAAGAGTTCACTCTGTAAATTTTATCTATTTTATGAAATACCAAATCAGGATTAACTTGTAGAATCTTAGCCAGGGCTTCAGAGCAAACTTGTCTCAAGTCCTGTCTTTCCTCCTCTCGAATTCCCCGAAGCCGTATGGCAAATTCCATCGCCCGGAATTGTATCATAACAATCTCATCTTCAATTCTCTGCATTTTATTGTCAACTTCATCAATTTTATAATCATTGTCTTTCATCCTAACATTAACTTCTGATTTAAATTCTTCAACTTTAAAATCAACTTTCCCAATAAAATCTGCCAGGCCAGACGCCACTTCTGATATTTTTTTGGTCACCATAATTTGATTCTGTTTCACCATGTCTTTAATTTCATTAATTTCCTGCAAAAATTCCTGATGTGATTTTTGAAGTTCCTGTTGTGATTCTTGAAATTTATCATCCAAAGTTTTAGAAATAAATTCTTTTAAATCTGCCACATCAAATTCTTTTTTCTGAGTTTGTAACTGTTGAGCAGGGGGAAGTTGCGTTTGCTGTTTGTGTGTGGGGGATCCCCCCCCTAATGCCTTCCCTTCCTGCTTCTTTGAAGCCATCCTGGCTCGTGATCTAGTTTTTCTAAAGAGGGAGGTTCCTTTTCCTTTCCCTCCTGCACAAAGACTTCTAAAAAAGTCCCCCAGATTTGATCAAACAAGGGTTAAAATAAAGCAAAGTCCAATATTGAAAAGGGAAAAAATTTCCGAGTTATTTCTCTTGTAACAAGCAAGGCAGCTTAGTAGCAACTTGGAAACTTTGTAGCAAAACAAAGTAACTTCACCAATCCACACTCGCTGGCTCGTTAACTCTGAAGCTAGGCGCCATGTTTTTTCAAAGCACTTTCACTCACTCGCATTTTCTCAGATTGAAAAGTCAACAAAGTGCTAATACTTGCGTTTCCAAATTTCAGGATTCAGGTAGTTTCGCTGTTTATTAAAGCTGGTTCTTTCGCTTTAAGTTTCCTGCAGCCGGCTTGTTCTGCAGAGGCAGAATCGTCCCACGCCGCCCGGAGTCTCAGCAGGTTGGAAGGGAGCCGCGCCTGTTTCCTCCCCAGAAACGATTCCCTGGGGGGTTACAGGGGCTCGACCTGTGCCCTGCTATCTCTCCTCCAATAATCCTCAGGATTTTGAAGTTTTCGAGCCGCTTCTCGATCGCGAAGCGGCTCTACAGGCGGCGGGGCTGGCGGAGCTTCAAAGAGCGCCGCCGTCGCCGAAGACAAGGAAACCGGAAGCCCCAAGTGTCCAAATTTTGATCATGTGACCCAGAGGATGCTGCAATGGTCGTGTGACAAATGATCAAAAGTCTTTTTTCCAGTGCCACTGTAACTTCAAAGAGTCATTAAATTAATGGTTTTAAATTAACGACTATCTGTAATAACTTTTTGAGGCAGTAGCAGCATAGGAAATTCCTATCCCTGTTGTTCTGCCAGGCCGGACTATCAACACAATAGTTTTAAATTTTTTGGGGTTTTAAATCTGAGCCAATTTATTTAATTATTTTAAATTTTATATTGCTGTTTTGTCTGTGTTTTTAAATAGGCTGTACACCGCCCTGAGTCCTTCGGGAGAAGGGCGGTATAGAAATAAAATTATTATTATTATTATTATTATAGGAAATTCAAGTAGATAAGTTGGCTCAAACTTTTAAGTTCACTTACTAAAACTTCCCTCTGACATTTTTGGTACAGTGTTCTCACTACAAAGATGCCTTTCCAGGATGTAATCCTCTCTACTTTTCTTGATTAACAAATGGTACGAGGCAACTTCAACATCTAAGCACCTCCCAAATTCATCATACTAGCTGATGGCACTCAACCACCTAATGTGGGCATTCCTAATCTGCTGTTGAAATGAGGGTTGGTGGATTCACAGTTGCAACCACATCACGCTGAAAACATTGTAAACTGATCCAAACTCTCTCAATCTGCAGTGAGATCCCTAACTTACCCTTTCCTCCCGCGTTCTGGTCCTCATCATCTTGGCACGCAGCTGAACTCTGTAATCTTGATAGTATTTTTTGGCTCGGGCAATCTGCTGGCGTCTCTCCCTCATTTTATTCTGTGTACATTTCTGCCTCTCAATGCGCTGCCTAAACTCTTGCTGAAAAACAAACCCAAAGAGGAAAAGCTATTAAGATTCCCTGAGGACCAAGGAGGGAAGCAGCCCCTGTTTTCTGCAAATATTTAAGCAATGCTCTGAGGGCATGATGCTTCTCCCCTTTCCTATGGTGTGCAGCTTTGGCTGGAAAAGTGGCAGTGCTCCAGTGTGTCAGGTTTCTGATTGGCATGGAAGCAGATGCTGGAATTTGTCAAGCTCCAGACTTGTTGGGGAATGATTCCTAGGACTGAGACCCTACTAGGCCCCGGTGCATTTGGAAGATGCCCTGCTTTCAGCTTGGAGTCTTAAATGTTCCACTCTGTATAGCAAGGGATTACTTTCTAATAGCTGACGTTTTTCACAACGGATTGTTCAGTTTTAGTCCCAATTGTGAGTTCGGGTGGCGCAATGGTTAGAATGCAGTATTGCAGGCTAACTCTGCCCCCAGCCAGGAGTTTAATCCTGACCAGCTCAAGATTGACTCAATTTTCCATCCTTCCAAGGTCAGTAAAATGAGGACCCAGATTGAAAGCAGTATATGAAGCAGTATATAAGTCTAAGTGCTATTGCCAATTATATATTGGAAAGTTGCATGCCACTGAAGAGAAGACCACAGCAGTTTACAACGGCAAATGATTGTGTTTTAATTTATTATACCTTTATTCGCATAGCTCTATATTATTAGAGAGACCAAATAATGTTCTAATATATTGTTAGAAGGAATTGTGTTTTGATTGATTAACTATAGATATTATATGATTATACTGTTCTATTCTTGGACTTATATTTTCTCCTCCACTGTCTTGCATGGATACAGATCAGAAAGGCTGCCTACAAATACATTTAAAAATTAAATTATCATCAATATATTAGCTTGTTTCCACATATACCAATCTCCTGTTGTGAGCCTGCTCTCTCTTAAGAAGATCCACAAGTAGATTGTGCTTCTTCAGTGTTTCCAATACCTGAAAGAAGTACACAGATTTCATTCATGCAGCACTGATGATGTTACCTACCTGGGTAATGAAATGTTTGCAAGAAAACAATCAAGCTCAGAGAGCACCAAGGACCCCACAGATTTCTTTTAAATCATTATTTTTCATTCACTTATCAACCCTGTGCATATTAACCAATTTAGCAGCTCTCAAGAAAGATTTCTCCACCTTGATCTACTCTCTTCCAGAGACACTTGCTGAATAGTTTCTATGCCAGCCTGGACTATAACTTCCAACATCCCTAATCATCATGGATTACTCACAGAAAGCTTGAACTCACATTTGAAGGCAGATGCATTTTATGTATTTATCCCACCCTTATTATGTAGTATAAGTAACTCATGGTGGCAAACACATCTCATACTCCTTCCTCCTCCTATTTCCCACACAAAAACGACCCACTCTTATTTCTCCCCACTTTCCCCTTTCAACTATTCCCTGTGCTTTCATCAGGATTTGTAATCCATTTTTTCCATTACTGCTTCCCCATTTCCTTCCTTTTTTAATGTCACAAAGTGATCAAGTGACATCAGCCTATAAGAATAAAGCTCTGGTTGAATGAAGAATCTCATTAACTTTGGAGGGACATGATCTCCAACTGGGGTGGCATGCCTTTTTATGGTATGGGAAAAATAAAATACATGAATATTTTCAAAGACACCTTGTTAGAAATGCATTACTGCTAGTTTGGGGGGAAATTAAAGAAAGGCACTATATAAAAATACCAGTCTGGCTCTCCATGATGGAGGCACTGATTCATCCGAATGTGATTAATATGGGAAAAATTGAAAGGTATAAGGACATTTTGAATGATAAAGGGGAACTTAAATCCAAACAAGAACTAATTAATCAAGGGATCGATTTAGCATGGTGGCCATATGTGCAAATACAATCAAGATATGAAAAAGATTCAAAAATGTATGGTTTTTACAAAGAACCAACAGAACTAGACCAGATATTAGTAGGGACAGATGAAAAATTAATTTAAACAATTTATAGCTACTTACTGAGTATTAAAATGGAAGAAGAGCAAGTGAAGGAAACAATGGATATGATGGGCTAAAAACTTTGGTTAGCCAATAGAACTAGACAAATGGCAGAAATTGTGGGATAGAAACTGTACATTAACAATATCAATGGCCTATAAGGAAAATCTATACAAAATGTTTTATAGATGGCATTTACCACAAGCGAGGCTAGCAAAGGTGTTGGAAACTTATCAGCTAAATGTTGCAAGTGTAATCAGATACTAGGTTAATATTATCATATGTGGTGGACATGCCCAAAAGCAAAAAAAATATTGGACTAAAATACATACCTGGTTAGAAAAAATGATAAAACAACATATAGTTTTGAAACCAGAAATATTTTTGCTGGGGATACTACCAGAACAGTATAATAAAGGGAATACATATTTAATTTTGCATGTAGTAACAGCAGCAAGAATAGTGTTTGCACAACAATGGAAAAATGAAGAGGTCCTGACAGATGAAAGTGTAATTTAAAAAAAAATTAGAATGTGCTGAGATAGACAGATACTTAAGATAAAAGAAAAGGAAGAAATAGAATACTTTTTAACACGGGATATATTTTACCAATGGTTAATGAACAAAAACAGAGGTTAGAATTTAAAGAGAATTTAAAGAGATAGTAAAATGGACAAACTAACTATTTCATTATTTTATGATTAATATTGATATGTTTATTAAGATTACTAGCATGATTATGGTTATTGTTGTACCTTTACTCAAAATTAATTATGCCCAGACAACATGTTGTTCAGATAGACATGGTTTTTTTATGTTTTTAAAGAAACAATGTACCAATAAAACATATATTAAAAAAAAAGAAAAGCAAAATCTCAGACTCTCCTAGGCCAATTCATTGCCTTTAAAAACGTGCCAAAAAAAAATAAAAATAAAAATTAAGAGTACTATCAGTACAAGCAGTTTTCAACTTATGACCAAAATTGAGCCCAAAATTTATGTTGCTAAACAAGACAATTGTTAAGTGAGCATTGCTCCATTTTAGGACCTTTCTTGACTCACTGCAGCTGTTAAGTTAGTAACACGGTTGTTAAGTGAATCTAGCTTCCCCATTGACTTTGCTTGTCAGAAGGTTACAAAAGGTGATCACATGACCCCAGGACACTGCAAATATGAGTCAGTTTCCAAATGTCTGGATTTTGATCACGTGACCATGGGGATGCTGCAATGTTCATTAAGAATTAAAAAACGGCCACAAGTTACTTTTTTCAGTGCCATTGTAACTTTGAACGGTCATTAAACTGTTTTGCAAGTCGAGGACTACCTGTAGTCCTGGTTAGTGCATGGGACTTTCATCTCATGTTTGTATCTTTTAGCCATTGCCGGCACATTTTTGTGCCTCACTTTTGAAAGGCTGTGACTCTCTTGAGCCTGCAGATAACTCACTTCATTTTGTAGTTTCCACTGGTTCCTATCTCTGGGAGATTTGAATTGCTCAATTTGGGAGAGCTGCTGTTGCCACATCTTGTTCATTGTTGGATGAGAAATGTTCATGTGAGGAAAATCTTCAAGTAGCAGAGGCAAGAGATCGTTCTCTTTGACTTTCACTGAAAGAAAGAGACAGACCTAAGCAATGAACAGCTGAAGAGTGGGCCTTATGCTTTGAGTTGCCATTAAAAACAGCTCTCCTCCCTGATCATGGAGCTACCATAATTAGGGAAGGCTGGACTAAGCTTACTGTTTTATACTTAATTAATGGTCATGGTACTGCATATCACATTACTTGATTTAACATTCTTACTTATAAACTGTAGATTGTGTGTGAACACATCTAAACAGGACTACTTACTTTGAGGTAGAAGCTATAACTAGATTAAAAAAGGATGGAAAAATATTATTTGTATTCCACCTTGATGGTGAACATATCCAACACAGCTTCCTCCTTTATTTTCCCACAACAACCACCCCTGTCAGGTGAGATGGGCTGAGAGAGAGGGACTGGCCTAGCCAGCTTTCATGGCTAAGGTGGAACTAGAGCTCGCCCATTTTCCAACTTTAACCACTAAACCAGTATTGTCCAACCTTGGCAACTTTGATACTTATGGACTTCAACTCAACATGAATATCTGGGAAATTCTGGAAATTGAAGTCCACAGATCTTAAAGCTACCAAGGTTGGACACCCCTACACAAGACCTAACTGGCTCATATATTTATCACATAGACATGTTTGGAGAGCAGAGAAATGATCATGTGCCATCAAGTCATGTTGAATCTTAGCAACCACGTAGTTTTTCTCCATGATGCTCTGCTTCTAACTTTCAAGTCTTTCAACAAGGAAACCATCAGCACTATAACGGAGTCCACTGAAGAGAAATGAGCATCTCATAAATTATTTTTCTTTTTAAAAAGGTTTTTATATTCTGTTCTTGCTCTTTATAAGAACGATATTGGCCAGCTGCACAATTACAATTGTACCTTATCTGGAGGAATATAGCAGCTGAGAGTTATCCTTGCTTCACCAGTCTCAATTCTAATGAGAAATAGCTACTCCTGGTGAATTTGTGCCCATATTTTTCCCAAACAGTAATAATGATATATACTTGGATTCAAAAAGACCTTCTAATCCTGAACCAAGAAAAATAATTTTAGGAACCTCTACAGGCTAAAGTGGTATTATTGAGCCCAATAAAACTGACAAAGGACAAGCTGTTCAGCATTGAAGGCCAGCTGAAATGCACGGCAGCTCATTAGCTAGTTTCCACATCACACTAAACAATTCTTGTAAAAAAGCAGTTTGCTTGGTATTAACCATGGCTTCTGCATGATTCAGTTTGTAAACCCAACAGCCAAACATGTCATGTTGTTGTTGAAATTCAGGGCATTAATCCTGCTTGATTCTGTGAACTGACTTTTGAAAACTCTTATCTAATATCTAATGATTTTTACTGCATTTATGTAATTCTTATGGATGCAGATTCTTCTTCTTTGAAACCACAGCTCCGAATGAGATACTTGACTGTGTTTGAACTAACATTTTTCTTATATTTTTATGGAAGAAATCAATGCTTGAAAAAACAAATGTGACTTTTCTGCAAAGTGGTGGATAGGCCAGCTGCTTTATCTTAGACTCTCTCATCCATAGATTTACTCCATCAGTTAACATCATAAACACATAGAAATATTTAATTAGCATGGTCATTGTTAATATTCCCTGCTCTTAGCCTCTATCAAAACAAACACAGCAGTTTAGTATAACAGCTGTCATAACTTATTACTAAACAATATTGCATACCGATGAACAAATCTGAAGTTACTCGGAGTGGAGTTTTTTGCACTTCACATACTGGTTGAGAATAAAGCATTGAGGAAAGAACCATTAGGGGACACCCTTATGGTCTTTTGTAGAATTGACACATTTTGAAATCAAAGGAGGTAGAATAGATTATTTTTAAGCTTGAAATGTTTTGGCTGTTCCTCTTCTTAAATTACCCACACATAATTATATATAGCTTGACATCATTCATGGTTACTTTTTTATCTGGGTCAAGGGACGGGAGGCGGGGAAGAAAAAGGAAAAGAAAAGGAAGGAAAGGAAAGATTGTTGGAATGCTCTGCTCGGAGAAGCACTGATTTGTAAGATTGATATTCCAATTAAGTGACAGACTTAGAGAGTACTAATAAAAAGCTGCAGCCATGGAAGCCCAGCCGTCCTCATGACTTTGAGGAAATTACTGGATAAAAGGCTCCCTAAATTCTCTGCTCCCCTTGCCCAGGTTTAAGACATATGGAGGCAATCAGAAAAATGTTTTTTTCACAGCTATATGCTGCAAAAATGCCAGTGATCTTGGCCCATGCACTGAAAGAACATGCTTTCAGAGGCTGCCAGGCTCTCTACCAAGAAGGATTCACTTCTTACTTGGAGCTGCTTTTTTTGGCTTCGCAAACCCTCCTCTTGAAATCCTCTGGTTGAGTTTGGAATGCCGAGGTATATTTTTTCGAGAATAAATCTTTGCTGCATGTGAGATTCTTGGAGTTCCTTTAAGTACGTTCTCTCTGAATTTTTGTTCCTGGATGCAAATACACACAGAACAAATAGTTACTGGATCACTCGTTATTCTAGTACAGGCAGATCCTAATGACAGCTCACGATTCATACAGAAAGAGGCAAACCCATAGTGCAGAGGCTGATGATTTTCTATACATCAGACATTTAAGCTCTCCAGTGGCTGGTTAATATGATTACGTGTCTTTAAGATGAAAGCTTTAAAATATAATCCTAAAAGGCAAAAATGCCTCTCTTCACACTAATCAAAAACACATCTTGGCCTCCCAGGTACAGAACATCTTATTCCCCCATCTTCAAATATCTGGTTTGGAGCCAAAGAGCTCAACATCTTCAACTTCACACAGGACAAAGACTACTGTATTGGTTTCCCATCAGAGTTTTCCAGAATGGCTTCTCTTGGACACACACTGAAGGAGAGAGTTCGCCATCTTGCTTCCTCAATCTTTGGAAGTGATACTTCAATCCAAACATATAACTTAAAAAAAAAATCTATATTGTCATCATGTCTGTGGTATCTTTCTATCTAAAATGAACAATGACTTATTTCCATATTAAATCAGGTAACTGGTAACTGTCTAAGTGGCATTTTACCTCAGAAAATAATACTAAGTCTCCAGCTACATTCTAAAAGTTATTGTCTCTGTGATCAGAGTCAGAGAAACAATCTATTACAGGTGGTCCTCACTTTACAACAGTTCATTTAGTGACCATTCCAAGTTACAATGAAAAAAGTGACATGACCATTTTTCACAGTTACATCCTTTGCAGCATACCTATCATTGTCACGTGATCAAAATTTTGATGCTTGGCAACTGGTTTATATTTATGACAGTTGCAGTGTCCTAGGGTCATGCAATCACCTTTTGCAACCCTCTGACAAGCAAAGTCAATGGGGAAGCCCGATTCACTTAACTAGCTTAACAACTGCAAGTGATTCAGTTGGCAAATATGACAAAAAAGTCATAAAGAGGCAAAACTCACTTAACAAATTTCTCACTTAAATGTTCTGACCCAGCCTTAGCAGAAGCAAGAAACGACTCAACCCCTTTTTATTTACCTCTTGTGAATTAACTGCATTCACCCACCAAAAAGTCCAGGCAATAGTCCTTCAAGGAGTTAACTGCAGTAATAGACCTTATCAGTTCCTTGCGATAATTGCAAGTCTGTGAGCTCCCGCACGAATGGCTGCAAATTAAGTTCTGGCAAGCAATCTTTGTGGCATGAAACACAATGAGTAAAATCTTCAGAAATACGAACTGTTGTCTTCTACGACAACCACTCCCCTTTCCTTCTATTTATTTCCCAGCCGGAGGGGGGGGGCATTCAGCGTCCACAGGTGCTTTGCTTCCTGAGCAGACTCCTTGTCCTCCATTGTTCACCTCTCCTAACTGCTCTGCGCATACATGCATCTGGAACAGGCCCCAGTTCTTCTTCCTCCTCACTCATATCAGCCTCCAAAGGCAGCTTGCCTCTCCGGCAGCTGGGAAATGTCGGAAGGCCCTGGCTCTATCTCTGTGTCTGACACAGAGCATCCATCAGAGCCTTCCCCAGACTCCAGAACTGGCCCAAGTTCCTCCCTAACCTCATCATCCGAGTCTGCCACCAGCTCTGCTTGCTGCTGGCGGGCCACAACAACAGAAATTTTGGGCTCAATTGTCATAAGTTGAGGACTACCTGTACTAACCACATCAACTCAGAGTCACTACATATAGGAGAATGTCTTTCCCATAATCTTTAAGTGCCTAAAATTTTTCATCTACAAAAATTAACTCTTTTTATAGGTGAAAATTTTAGGCCCTTACAGATTATTTTTATAGCTACAAAACTAAAATCTGTATAAAAGAAAATACATTGTATGCTGGAAAATCAAATCTGGAATTTTATCCTTCTCCTTTTAAAAAAAACACTACAGATAAGAAGTTACCCATACTGGGCTCTATGGATCTCGATTCCAGTAAACAAAATTTATGATCAAGTCACATCAGTGATCCTGATATGACTGGATGTTTCTAGAATTTAACACAGGATGAAAACACAATCAATGAGAAGTGCACACTTCGAAAAACACGACTTCCTTCCCAAGAGTCTTAGAAAAACTGATCTGTCTGATTTGTCTGAGATAGACAAAAAGTGGTAGTCCTCAACTTACGACCACAACTGGGAACAGAATTTCTGTTACTATGCAAGACAGTTGTTAAGTGAGATGCATCCAATTTTATGATCTTTTTTGCCACGGTTGTTAAGTGAATCACTGCTGTTGTTAAGTGAGTCATGGTGTCATTAAGCAAATCCAACTTCCCCCATTGAGTTTTCCTTAGTGGAAGCTAGATGGGAAGGTCGCAAATGGAGACCGCGTGGCCCCAGGATGCTGCAACCATCATAAATAAATGCCAGTTGCCAAGCGCCTGACTTCTGAACATCAGGGTGCTACAATGGCTCAAAGTCCGACAACTGATTGTAAGTCACTTGTTTTTCAGTGCCCTTGTAACTTCAAACTGTCACTAAGCGAACAGTTGTAAATTGAGGATAACCTGTATTTAACGTTCTGCTCAGGTAAATTTGGTGGGGAGAAAACCCTCATCAAAATTTAAATATATGAGAGCTGACCTGTAGTGCAAAAGCTGCTCTTCAAGTATTAATGTTCCAAACCATATTGAGAGTAAAAAGAAATGCACAGAACTATCAACATATTTCTTCTGCACCTTACCATTTCCTGAGCCTTTGCTTTTATCTTTGCAAGTTCCAGTCTTTCTCTAGCTTCATATGCTCTTAGGTCTTCGTCATAAGCTTTACTCAGATGCTAGAAGACATAATAAAGTCCGATTGTTGTCTGTCTTCATTCATTTATGAAACATGCCTTTTGATAATTCTAATAGCAGTTCGCAAACTAAATTTTTAAGAAATCAGTAGTTCCATTTAATGTAGGTTCTAGGCTATTGAAACTTGTTCAGCTGCAGTTCTAGAACAAAAAACTCAGTTAACACATGAAAGAGCAATTGTCTGAAAGTTTCAGAGCCAGAAAATAAGATAAGCTCCCTCTATTTTTTTAAAAAAAAACCTGAATAAATTAAAAATGATCCAAGAAAGATAAAAGTTAACCAATATTAAGGTTATCCCTCCACTGTTTCCACCAACCCAAAATTAGAAGGTAGAAGATATCAATTTGAAATACATGGATATGGCTCCACAATAAAAAATGTTGTCTAGATAAAGTGCCAAACCAAGCTTGGAGTTATAAGAACCAATATCCTAAATATTAACAGAAATATCCTAGTTATGTATTGATTTTTAGTTATTAAATTTATATGCCGCCCATCTCGCAGTTTGTGGAAACTCTGGGTGGCTGTCAGGCAGTATAGGTTTTTTTCTTCAAATGGAGGTGATCAGTGACCGGTCTCAGTGAGGAGATTAGCCCTCAATAGGCAGATTCCTGAGCCTCAGGTAGGGACCCCTAGAGATTCAATCAATAAAACAAATAAGAGGACTTGCACTTTCGCTCCCCCCAGTCATTCTACCTGTACTCTTAATTCTCTCACTTTTCTTTTCCTCCATGTCTGTTTTTTACCCAAGCTTCTCCACTGGCATTTCCAAAAGTGTCTAGTCTATATTAGGAATCTCTAATCATCTTTGTATCTTTTAGTAATTCTTTCAGCCTTTCATCTAGAATAATCCAATTAATCATGCTTTTGGATTCATGCCCCTTCCATGTGTATGTGTGAGGCTTACACTGAAACCACATTGTTGAAACAAAATGCCATTTTTCTACAACGAATGATCAGTTTCATTCATTGCTGTGCCTCCAAATGGCGTGATCACTTTTTTTATGTACTCCTTTGTCTCATTCCAACTTATCTATTTGTGTTACCTAATAAAATATTCTCCCTCTTTGGATCACTTCCATTCATAACACTCCACAATTTTCCCCAAACTTATTTCTGGTTTTTCTTCTATCATCGTTCATTGAACAATAACCTTTTTCTCATGCCCGTCCACAACAATTAAGATGACACAAATTCATACTTCCCAGGATATTTTTCAGCCTAGTCAATTTTATACTTTGACTTCTCTGTATGACTTCTTGATGCCATACCACAAGATTGGGCCATTTACATTCCTATCCTTTACATCTTTCCCCATTCCTAATTTTCCAAATGCGGAATATATCTATTTTTCTTTTATTTCCTTCATTCATCCAGACTCTTAATTGTAGTGTTCCATTTGCCATAGTCATCAGTAGATGGCCGATAAATATTGACCGCCAACCCCCATGGCTTTGTTTCAATCAGATATTTTTAGTGTGATAAACTAGCTTTATCAAGTTACTAGTTTTAATCCTATCTGTGCCCCATGTAACATTCCCTTCCAACAGCGAGGACAATACTGGTCAGCTTCAGAACATTTTGGCCACTATGTCACAAGCAGGCCAGTTTTACCCCAAGCAAGTGCATGCTATTCTATACAATCTCAGATATCTAAAGATCATCTAGCAAGTCAACATACAATGCTACCATCCCACCGATTAGGAAGTACATGCAGCATACTGTCACACTCAGAATGTGTTTTCCTTTTGGGAACGATATAAAACCTTTGAAGTGGAAACGCAGAAGTTCTTTTCATCCATGTTCTATTGACCGCTAAAAGTCTGTAGAGATTCTTAGTCATCCAGGTCATGGTTGTCCCAAAGGTGCTTTTTCAGTAGGCAACTGGACAAGTTGCTTCTTGAAAAAGCACCTTTGGGACAACCATGACCTGGATGACTGAGAATCTCTACAGACTTTTAGCTATACAATTTGGGATTGTACACCCTTTGAATGGTGTGAGAGTAAGAATGGATTTCCAGAGGAAAAATGGCAGACTACAGAAACCAGGAGCACCACTCAGGTGATCCTGAGGACACAGACAAACCTCCAAGTGCTTCAACAACCCTCTAAAAGGATGCAAAAATGACCAGCTGGCTGCAAGGAATATAAATCCCTCCATTCCCCACTATCCTGTCAGAGTTGAAGAAGCGAAACGTCTTCAAAGAAAAAACAAGGAAGTCCAGTTTCCTCCTGAAAAAGCACCTTTGGGATAGTGGTTCTGTTAAGGTTCCATGTATGCTGAGAGCATCTATTAATACATTCACTCATTAAGGCATTATTTAGTTGCCCCCATTTCCATTCCTGTTGCCATTACCTTCGCTCTTAACTTCCTTTGATCCTGTTCATTTTGCCAACATATTCGCACCCTTCGCGCTGGCTCTTCTGCATCTTTCTGGAGAGGACTATCTGATACATGTGATGGTTGATAATTAGATGGTGGCGGGGAAGCAGAAAATGACCGTCGCCTGTTGGGTGCTTTTCTTGGATGACGAATATCTATGAAATAAACAAACTTTAGATAGGTCTACCACAATTAGGTTTTTTTTAAACAAAGGATCATGAAGGCCCTTTCAATAAATTTCAGAAGTTCTGTTTCTAAAGCTTGCCCTGTCATGACTTTGGGATCCGATATGAGCTGCCCTGTATTACATTCAATCAGATACATCTTTAGAAAAAAAGTACCTTTGAAAGACAACTATGACCTGGTTGACTGAGAATCTCCACAGAAAATCAGAGACACATTTTTTTTTACGTTTAGCAATTAGATTCAGGCTCTTTGTAAAGTTATTGTTTTTAAACTTTTGAGTTAGCACAGTTCCCAACAGTGCTCAAACCCCTCGGTTTAGCTATTGTGACATCCATTATACAAAGAAATCTCTTCAATCCAGGACTTTATAGATCTAGGAGGTGTTACTATGACAATTCTCAGAAGTCCTAGCTAGCATGGTTGACAGAAATTATGGAAGTTGTAGCCCTTATAGATAAGGAGGGGAATCAGGTCAAGGAAAGATGCTAAATAAAAGACAGGTATATAGCTATTTTCCATTCCTGATGGAAATTATATGTCCCAACATAGAACAATGCAATTCGTTCATTAATGAATTTCAGAATATTACCTGATTGTTGTTTGATTTGGCGATAGTCCATGATACTGTCACTGTGCTGAGAAAGGGTATCCTCGTCACCCGACAACTCGTCCTGGCTTTGTTCACCCAAAGCATGCTTTAACATCTGTAATTGTTTTTTTTTTAATTGCTTTATCTATTCAGAGTTGATTTCAAATTAATCTTCCATGATTTTACATACAAAACATTTGCTTTTAATCAAGAAAAATAATTAAGTACACAAAGTCAAATATTTACTTCAAACACTCTACATCACCACTTTATGCCACCAGCTGTAGGCTGAAACTGCACAAGCAAAGGAATGGCTGATAGAACTCTATGGTGCCAAAGGTACTATTAAAGAACCCTTAATAGTACTATTACTCTATTGCACTATTAAAGACCACAGCAAAAGGTTCTGTGTATTATTTATGCTTCCTAGAGTGAAAAATCCCTTCAAGTAAGAAACTAGTATCCAAGGTTTATTTAGTCTATTCCTTGTTCCAATTTTCTTTCACAGAAAATTGATGTTTAGAAATGTGAACTCAAACTTAAAAGTATGAAGCCATGTGTTGTATTTAATCAAGCAGGACCTGAATATCTCCTTCTAATGTATCTGTAACTCAGGCCTAAATCCAGAACTTTTTCAGCATTGGCTAATAATATGATTCTTATAAACATATTATACCCTTAAATTTCCTTTCAAAAGAGGAAGCACAATAGAATTTAGCAAGGAGCAATGGCAAAGTCATTCTGCACACAGTTCAATTCAGCAGACTGATAAAATAGCACTCTGCAATAGCACTTAGACTTATATGCCGCTTCACAGTGCTTTACAGTCCTAAGTAATTTACAGAGTCAGCATATTGCCCCTAACAATCTGGATTCTCCTTTTACCAACCTCGGAAGGATGAGTCAACCATGAGCCAATGAAGATCGAATTTCAGGCAGTCAGCAGAATTAGCCTGCAATACTGCATTCTAACCAGTACACCACCAAGTGAGCAAAATTTTTATTTTGCATAAAAATAAATATATAAGAGAAATATTACTTCTTTGTTTCAAGTGTCTGTAGATATTAGGGAACTGAGATCTCTGCTACATCACCAGGCAATAGAAAATAAATATTTTGTACATGTAAAAAGGTAAACCCTATAATATGCAATTCACTTTCCTGACTTCAAAATGAGAGGCACTACAAATTTAAGACAATTTGCAAAATGGAGGAAGAACGTAGGGATTCCTAATACCAAGCAGAATCCATAATGATTCCATAATTTGGGTTGGATGAATTCCATAATTTTACAAAGTTTTCATAACTATTTTTCTTTACTAACTACAACCATCTGGCTAGATATTGCTCCTGGCTGTGGAACTGGACATTTTCAGATCAGGTGAAGAAATAACAAAACAGATGGTTGAACAGAGAAAAAAAAATGCCTGATACAGCACAGTAAGGAAAATGTCTATGCCATTCCAGATATGTTCAGTGGTAAGTATTTGGTGGTAAATGGTAGGAATTATGGAAACTAGAAAAGTCCAGCTTCAATGGAAGACAACTCCTTGCCTGCTAATCCCTCAATATCCTGCTCTACTAATGAGCTACCATACTTCAATCACTTGCTTGGGGTCAGAGGTTGCAGTGGGTGACTTCTTAGGTTACATCTCAGGTACTTAATCTGAGGAGGAAAGATGGGGATGTGAAGAAATATGGGGACTCAAGAATGCAGACTCTGCTATAGAGTCCGGAGCAAAGGGGGGGGGGGGGGAAGAGAAATCCTTGATCCTTTCCTAGAAGGAAGCCCTGACTCTTCATGCAAGAGAGGACCTAACCCTTTCCTGTTGGCTCAGGTCCCTCTGCTGATCATGAATCCCACAACAGGCTAAGTTTCAAATCAATTTGCAATCCAATCCAAGAAAAACAAAACAAAACATATGACATATTTTGAGGTGTGCTTTCAATTAACCTGTTTCAATAGGCATTTTTTCCCCTTCCAAACAATGCAGGAGTCAATGGGCTAGCTAGTCAGCCTTGGGTGAAAGGCACCCACAGCAGCAAACCCAGGGAACCCTGGTAGTCAATCAAAGAAGGACAGATCAAGAGTCAGTCTGAGGTGAAATGAAAGTTATTTTGTCAAGAGTACTTTACCTTTACTTGCTTGTACTTTAGGATTTAACAAATCTTAAGAGTATGATTGCAGGATCCTAAATTGGCTCATCTCTTATCTGCTTAGCTTCAGCCATGTTGCTTGTTTGGTTAGCACAATCCCAAGAATTGTTGGCATTAACTTACCGCATCCAGTTCATTCAGCCTGCGGGAGAGTTTCTCTGACATTGCGGAGAGTTTTTCCTTTGCACGTCTATGGGTAAGAGAGTCTTCTATAAAAGAGTCTGCCAGAGCAGGACGTTCTTTCTGGCTGGGAAATCAGAGTAAAACATGATAAAATAACAGAGAAAGTGTAATACTGTACAAATGGGATCATCTTAAGCATGTAAGTCAGTGTATGGATCCCTATCCCTGTTTTTCAAGAGGAAAACAAGAAGATGGGGAGGTAGAAAAGGGGAAAAAGAGAGAGGAGAGAAATTCAAAGATTATTGTAATTCAGAGTTTTGTCTTCTGGATGCTTCAGCTCTCTTTCTTCTTTTAACTGTTCTTCAGGCAAGCTGCCCAGATGGACAGCCTCTAAACTAAATGAATGAGTAAATAAAACCTCTCTTAATAATATTTATTGCTTTTTACATTAATGCATTGATTAAAAATCTTAATGGGATCATGTGTTCAAGAACGTTTTAGAGCCAGCGTAGCATTCAGCCCCATTCAATAATTTGTATTTGGCTGTAACCCGCTTCTGAAAAATTACTTTTCGCAAAAGGATTTATTTTATTTTTATTTTATTTATCAAATATAGAGACTTCCCATTTCAGTCACAAAGTGACACTACATGGTGCACAATTAAAAACATAGAAACATAAAAACCACGTAAAAATGTGAAAAAAAACAGTAAAAGACATTTAAAACAATAATTAAAAGGGGGGGGGCATATCAAGGTGCTAACCAGCCTCAATGTTGTATGCATGCAACTCGGCAGAGCCAGACCTTCAAATTATTTCAAAAGGCCATGAGAATGGGGGCCAAACTCACCTCTGGGGGGAAGATATTCCAAAGGGCGGGGGCAATGGCAGAGAAGGCTCTGTTCCTCGATCCCGCCAGTGGAAATTCTTTAACTCAGGGGTCCCCAATCCCTGATGGTCTGAGGACCGGCATCGGGCCGTGGCATGCCAGAAACCGGGCCACGCAAACAAGCAAAGCCCCATCTGTTGGATGCAGGCAGTATGCGAAACCACACTCCTTCCAGGCTGCGGAAAAACCTCTCTCCACAGAACCGGTCCTTTTTGCCCAAAAGCTTGGGGGCCATTGCTTTAACTGATAGAGTCTGCAACATACTTTCCCTGCCTCACCAGAGAGGTAGCATGACTCTTCTTATTGAACACCTCATACTGGTTCAAGGAACACTGGTGTTCCACAGACCACAGTTAAAGGAACACTGCCCTAATTGACACTGTACTGCAACTCCCATCATCTTTAGACAGTAGACTGAATGACCTGTAGAGCAGTACAAGGTTAAAAGCCCAAGGTTGGTGGCAGTATGTATGAACTTGGAGGACAAGATTATTCTGAAAAGCAACCCCAAATTCCATTTTGTGTGAAAGAAATGCATACCTTTTCCCAATAAATAGATTCCTTTGTTTGGGCCTTGTGGTTTGTATAGAGGTGAACTGAGGTAATCCATTCTCCTTGCAACTCTGAATCGATGTGTACTGCAAACTCTCGCCTATTTCCTTTTGGAAGGGTGGAGGGGAAAAACTTTCACTCAAACAGCCCAGGATAAATTCAAGATATTAAACAGGTGTTAAAGTAATAAAGATCAGACTGCATAAAGAAGAATTGCCAAATAAAATTACTATGATAATACAGAAAATTAGGTATCAGCAACCTTTTAAACAACAATATTTACAGTAGGATTACCAAGCCAAAAAGGCATTTAGTTTGAAGACATTTACATCAATCATTCATACATTAAATGCTCCTTAGACCGGAGTGGGGGCGGGGAATGCAGTCTTTCAAAATCTCAACATTCCCAGATTGAAGTAAAAACAGACATAAGCTTTTTAGAATCACATTTTCATAATGGGAATTGTTTTATGTATGCTTCTCTAAAAAGACTTTTCAGTAAAAGAGATATACATGACCCCTGAATAGTATATGTTTAAACTAGGATGATTATAACATTCTAGTTGGTCATATCAGAGAACCATCATAATAAAGATATGCCCAATCAATAAAAATATGATTAAATTGATCATAGTTGCAGTAATGTTAATATTAATTTGTATTTGAAGTATTACTGAAAGTTAAGGTTTGACATATTAGCATTAAATCATAGGTAACCTTATTTAGAAAAATGATCAATGTCTTGTTTTTGCAAACAAAATCCCTAATAGAAACAAAAGGAACATAAAATCCTTAGACTAGTTTTCTGCTCATTGCTAGATCGATTTTAAGATCCTCCTTACTGCTAGACTTCCCCGTAGACTGTCACTAATTCCACACTGCATCCCAATACATCTCTCATCTATGATCCTCACTTCTCCCTCAGCACTTAGCCTTTTAAAGGTCTCCTGTTTTATTAAACTGCTTGGATATTCAAGCGTTCGTTCCTATGATATATTGTACTAGAACAGGAGTCTCCAACCCTTGGACTGTGGCCTGGCACCAAGTCATGGCTCGCCAAGAACCAGGCCACACAAGCGAGTGAAGCCCCATTTGCAAACATGCCGGATCCAAGGCAGCATGTGAAACCACACTCCTCCCAGTCCGCAGAAAAATCATTGTCCACTTAACAGGGCTCTGGACCCTCCAAAAGGTTGGGAGCCGCTATCCTAGAGCACTTACACAATGCTGAATCTTATATGTCCACATATGTCTTTACAGATGAACCTATTCTGAGAAATTCTGTACCCAACCCTTGTTCTTCATCTCCTCCCGAGATGAACCCACACACTGGACATATCTTTGAATTGTTCTGTCTCATCCTGCATTCTTTCTCAAGATTCCCATTAGAATTTTAGATTTGTAAGGTATGAAGATTGTTTTGGTTACAATGGAAAGCTTGTAGACATTGATGGTTATCATGAACACATAACAAATACATCTGTAGCCAACTAAACAATGCATTACCTTTTCTGAATCATATGAGCTGGCTAGTGGCACTGATTCACCAGTTACACCAACTCCTGTTCCTGACGGTTCCGTTGGGAAATCTGAGCAGGAGTCCAAAGAAATTAATTATATAAAATATGTAAGAAATATAGCTGTAGCTCATTAAATACTAAACATTCACTTATTAGATAGATTACATAAAAGGTGATGCCCAAAAAACCCAAGGCTTCCACTGAGAAGACAGATTTGAGAAAAGGGCAAATGCCTGAAAACTTCAGTTTGCTTGCAGCTTGATGTACAAAAACGACATCGGCGCTATTGTTTTCAACTGGTATTGGTAAGCCTGAAGGACTTAGGTAAGGAAAGTAAGGAAGCTAGGCATGGCCCACAATTTTTATCTGTATTTATTTACTTTTTTCTCCTTTTTCTTTTTTGGCATTGCAACAAAAGTTTTACTTATAAATCTAATCCAGATGTCCAAGAGATTTGTTTTCTATTTATATCAGTTTTATATAGATTTAGAAATCTAACCAGATTTCTAAAGTGTTTCTCTAACTATAAATACAGTATTGCTAATATCCGATGAGCAACATTGTTTGCAAAAATAAAGATGTTATATTAGCAGAAAAATAATTGTAAGAATTAGCACAGCTAGAAATAACTGCATGATTCTGCCAACAAGAAGTATTTCTACTTTATTGTTGCCATTGTGGCACAGGGTGCCCTTAGCCTATGTCCTGGCTGCCATACCATATTATGCACCTGAGGGTTTTTGAGTAAGCATGTGTTAACTCACTCATTATGGCTTGTCATTATCTGTCAATTCATCCATTATAATTTATTCAAGTAACATAACAAGATTTAGCCCCAGGAACATTACTGTCATTCTCAAGATTTGAGATGGTGATGTTTTGTGTAGGCAATTGAGATCTGTACAAAAATCTGTAATTCACTTAAAATTGAAGAAACATAACCACAGATGTCCCCTTGTCCCAAGAATGGAAACCTGTTGGATGCTAATGACTATTGCCACAATCAGCATGGCCAATTGTCAAGGATAAAAGGAGGAAGTATCCAGCAGCAACTGGAAGGCCACAACTTCTCCCTCCTCACTTAAAAAGCTGACATACAAAATAGAACTCGCTTAAAAAATTCCAGTCCACAAGCACTGAATTCTTACAAGCCCATTCCCATGCTACAAATCAATAGCAATTCAGAGTAGCAAAGATTCTGACTTTGATAAAAGATTGAAACAAAACACTTTAAAGGGCGATTCTTACAAGAAGTAGCATCTGGAAAAGACTGGATGCCATCTGAAAAAACAGGAGATTCACGCTCAGGAGATTCTGCAAGCTATAAAAGAAAATGCAACACAAATAAAAAGACATATAGTAAAATGATCAAAACAAGTAGGCTGAAAGATGCATTGATCTATGCTTAATGAGCATGGAGCCTAGAGCCCTGGTGACGCAGTGGTTGAATGCAGTATTGCAGGCTAATTTTGCCTACAGGCAGGGGTTCAATCCTGACTGGTTCAAGATTGACTCAGTCTTCCATCCTTTGCAGTTGGTAAAATGAGGACCCAGATTGCTGAGGGCAATATGCTGACTCTGTAAACCACTTAGAAAGGGCATTAAAGCATTATGACATGATATGTATGTAAGTCTAAGTGCTATTGCTATTGCTGTTTTAAAATTTAAATTACAAAATAATCTACAAATTCAGCACATACAGTTCAGTTCTGTCATTTCTTATCTCAAAAGCTAAAATCAACAGCAAATTTTGACTGAAACATATATTCCAACAATAGAAAAACTGAACTAATTTCAGTCAAAAATCCATGAGGTTCACTTACTCCTTTTCCCTACAACTTTTCCACCCCATATCACGTCAACTTCATATATTTCAAAAATATACTCCCACTCCTTTTATCCAACAAGATGTGGTAGATTTTCTCAATTTCCAAACATGTTGGCATTCAAGTCTCATGGTCCCTAGTTAGCTAGCATCCTTGATACATTCCTGCCTAGGCTGTGTTTATTGGAACTGAATTCAGTTCAGAGTCACTTGAGAGTGAGATGGGACACATATAAGTTTAATAGATAAATAACAAATAAAAATTCCAGTAATTTGGAAAACCACCCAGAGCCACTCTGTGAGCAAGATAGATGGTCTCTAAATTTATCTATCTATTGTGTGTGTGTGTGTGTGTGTGTGTAAAATAAAATAAAATAAAATAAAATAAAATAAAATAAAATAAAATAAAATAAAAATACAATTCCAACAAATCTTGAGAGTACTGAATTGGGGAAGGCTGAGATATTTGACTTTTTTCTACACACTATTTTGTGTGACCAAGACTTGATTACTAGATTCCCAGTCCAGATTTTCTGATGAATAGGAAAGGCTAGGAAGGATTTATTTATTTTATTTCTATTACACACTTCTTAGCCTCCCTTCTCTCTTGGATAACCTGGACAGCATTCAATCAAATCTGCCAAGCTTATGAAAATGTACAATGCCATTGACTGATGACAATTAAACAAAAACAAAGGAAATATCACACTCACAACAGTAGGTGGCGGTTCTTGAGGTTTAAGTGGTAATAAAGGTGGTGGGGAATCCCTGTCTCCAGTGACATTGTTTCTTTCACCTAGATAAGAGACTCCACTGACGGAAGGTTGATAGGGGGGCTGCAAAGCGATTGCTGGACGGATTGGGTCCCCAAGCTTCTTAGCACTGGAACTCAACTGCTCTTCAGACAATTGAGCAGATTTTGCTATAGCTTAAAGGTAAACAAGGCAGACAATACTGTAATTCAAAAGTGTAGAATTAATATGCTTAAAATATATTATTGGTGACATTTCCTTTGAAAAATGTTAAAAACAAGTATTACTGGTGGAAATTTCATCATCAAGGTATGCTGGCTGAGTTATTTTCTTCACATATATTTTAGAACATCTGTTAGATTTTCAATGTAGTAAATGAAATATAAAAATATGCCACAGTAGCATTAAGTCACACTTCCCCCTTAAGGGGGTACCTTTTTGGATGGCTAAAGCCATACAACAAAGGCATCATGTGGTACGCTGTGCTCTTCAAAAGTGGACAGAATTTTTTTTAAATTTGGTTTCAAATCTACTGCTTTTGAAGTATTCTTTTATTGGTGGTTTGGTAATTTAAAAACTACCATGTTTTCCATCAATGGATTGACCTTCAACATTAAGATTCTCTTTCAATATTGTCTGCTGAAGAAAAAAAAAACACACAGCATATTTTGGTTTTTGGGGAACAGACAGAACCAACTAAATTCTTCCCTGTGTAGGGGAAGTTTTCTTGTGTAGTTTCATGAGCAATCTGGGAAGGATTCCAAACTGCTTTTGGAAGCAGCAGCCTAGGAAAAGTCAGGAAAACAGATAGGGGGAGACTGTGAGACAATGGTGGGAAGAGAGATGGTTAAGGATGTCACATTTTGTGTTCTTATTAGATCATCCCAGTCTAAATCCACCTGATTAAGCCCATGGAAGGTCTTCTCAGATAACTATATTCCCCACCAAAAATATTAGCATCCCCAGGATAAGACCTTTGAACATCAACATCATTACCTTAGAAAGATGCTCACCTGGTCTTTCTGAAACAACAGTATATTTCCCACTGGAGGACAAACCAAATGATTCTCTAAATGTTGCACGTATTCCAGACCCTGCAGCCTTTTTTGGGACTTCTTTTTCTGATGGTAACACTGAAAAACATTCATTAGCAGAATATGAATATTTAACCTAGTAATTTTGTGAATGTTAGGAAGTTCAGAGATACAAGATAAAGAATCTTCTTTCTGGGCATCAATAAAGGTTTTCCACAACTGTGATATCCCATTGGAGGGGGATTTTTATATATTTTGCCCAGGAAGTAAAGGATAGGTTAGGTAGGAAATAATCTGAACCTTATTTTCTAGAAACAGCAGCAGGTGGAGGGGAAAATCTACTCAAAACTTGGAACTGTATTACACTACATTTAAAAAAAAACCCTCACTTTTTACAACCCTGTAGTCCCTATTTGGGGTAGAGTTGGGGCGACTGGATGGAGCTGAGCTTTTACTGGCTGTGTGCCCTTCTTATTTATTTATTATTTATTATTCAAATTTCTATACCGCCCTTCTCCTTTCGGACTCAGGGCGGTGAACAGCCAAAATAAAAACATCTATACATAACATTACAGTTAAAAATAGAGTTAAAATAATTTATAAATTTGGCCCGTAATTTAAAACTTGTCAATTTAAAATCAATATTAAAAATTTAAAACTAACCCTAAAATCAAGACAGACCGGCTAACTGAAAAAAATAAGTTTTTAGGGCCCGACGAAAAGTCCGGAGGTTGGAGATCACTCGTATCTCTGGGGGTAGATTGATCCATAGGGTAGGTGCCACCACAGAGAAGGCTCTCCTCCTGGGGGTCGCCAGCCGGCATTGTCTGGCCGACGGCACCCTGAGGAGGCCCTCTCTGTGGGAGCGAACCGGCCGGTGGGAGGCTATTGGTGGCAGAAGGCGGTCCCGTAAGTACCCTGGCCCTAAGCCATGGAGCGCTTTAAAGGTGATCACCAACACCTTGAAGCGCACCCGGAAGTCCACCGGAAGCCAATGCAGCTCGCGCAGGAGAGGAGTCACATGGGAGCGCCCCATCGCTCCCATAATCCCCCGCGCGGCCGCATTCTGCACCAGTTGGAGCCTCCGGGTGTACCCCAAGGGGAGCCCCATGTAGAGAGCGTTACAATAGTTGATGCCTATGTGGCGTTCACAGCAGATTTTTTTTTTGTGCTCTAGGAAAGAAACATCTGGTGCTTCCTAGGATTGAACTCTCAACCTTTTGAGTGGAAGTCGAGTGTCTTCACCACTAGGCCACTAGGCCGCTCTAATATTATCCTACATTCCTAAAAGAAAATCAGTCTATTAAAATTCTCAAAAAAACACTTATTTTGCAGTGCAGAGAGGATGATCCTTCAGTTTGGGATCAAAACTGCATAGGTTGTATAGATGAGTGAACTGACCTATATTCACTGGGAAAGCTATTTTTTAATGAAGCAAACAGGGTTTTTTTGCAGGGGGATGACAACCGCCCACACTTGAGACTTTCAAAGTGTTCCTTGTACAATACCATTTCATCAGTCGCATTTGGCTGTTCTTTTTTTTTTTCAGAGCCTGCTTACCTTCATTTCTCAGAGAAAACAAGTAAGCCGTGTCACCAAGCTTGATCAGCTCACTTGTAGATTCTGAACCACCAGCCTCCGAAGATGGATCAAGCAGCTCTGATGACTGAGAAGATCTAAACAGAACACAATAAATTACAGTAATGTGCTTTTATGAATTGGCCACAAGGTGGTAGAATACATAAGAAGCATCAATTAACGTCTTCAATTGTTCAGAAATTAAGGGGGTTGTTGGCATTATGCTTTTACTTTAACAAAGCAGGTCGATAAAATATTACAAAATAGTAAAAATGTAAAATAGAACCATGACCGAAACACAGTGAGAAAAAGGTTAACTTCAACTTTCTAGTGGAGTACTGATTTTGTGCAGCGCAATGGGTGCCTTCTTTGCTGCGCTAGGCTTCTTTCATGAAAGAAGGTCCTGGGCTGGACATGAATGTAGGTCCTGGGGAGATGTCAGAGAAACCTTGGCTGCACCAGTGTGAAAACTAGCGGCATGAAAGGCCCTGAATGGTACAGTAGCGGCATGTGATATGGCGGTAGGCAGGGCTGTATATGGGGGCAGCTGGCAGGAGCATGTAATTAGGCGGCCAATAGGACAAAGAGGGCGGGAGGGAGGGAGGGAGATGGGCAGCTGGAGAGAGTTCAAGAGGCGGCAGTCCCTTACCTTACTGAGGCTCCGGGCTGGAAAGGGACCAAGCTATGAATGGCTTGGGCTGGTGGGTCCTCACCTAGTGCTCCGATTCAGTTAACAAGGCTATCAGTTAACAATGACTGCCAGGATTGAAATAATTAAGCAATGTTGTCATATGACATCATGCTTTGCGACGGCATTGCTTAGCGACAGTAATTCCGGTCCCTATTACCATTGTTAATCGAAGACTACCTATAATTTATTAATTAAGCTACCTTGAGTCTTTCCAATGTGTCAGCCAAATATGTATAACAAGTAAATCTAATTGCAGTGATAAGAAGGTAGCAAATGTTGCTCCAATAGTAATTTTTTCAAGCAACTTGGAAGAGAAAGGATACATTTTTCCTGGAATTAATGCTAATTCACACAGAACGTGTCAGGCACAGTTATGGCAACCTCTGTCCACGTATTAAAATATTTCAAAGGTGCAGCCAACTGTACATGCCAAAGGTGAAATATCTGAAAAGAGCTTGAACAGTTGTGTTATTCAACAAAGTGAAAACCCATTACTTCTGCTGACTGACGGCTGACTGCAATTTGGCAGTTCAAATCCCACCAGGCTCAAGGTTGACTCAGCCTTCCATGGTTGGTAAAATGAGGACCCAAATTGCTAGGGGCAATATGTAACCCACTTAGAGAGGGCTGTAAAGCACTGTAAAGTGGTATATAAGTCTAAGTGCTAGAGCTACTAATAAACCCTTTGTAAGCTAGTAAACCAGCAGGCAACTATGGACCTGCCTTACCCTTCAGCTGAGGGTTGCTCTAGGGAGGGAACTGGGATGTCACAGCCATCTTCTGGTGTCTTTGATTCAGTGTGCTGGACTTCTGTTTCTGCCATCTGCTTAAGACCACCTGTTTATAAACAACACTATTAAAAGCAATAGATACAAAAAATATTGAAAAATAAATTAACACTCTTCCCTCCTATGCATACATCTGTCCTGGCACTTTTTAGAATCTATTGGTCAATGAAATAAAATAACAAAAAAATACAGATAGTCCTCGACCATTCATTTAGTGACCATTCAAAGTTACAATGGCACTGAAAAAACGTACGACCGGTCCTCACAACAGTTGCAGCATCTCCATGTCACGTGATCAAAATCTGGGTGCGTGGCAGCCAGTATGTATTTATGAGACTTGCAGCATTAACTTAGCCATATATATCCGGTAGTTGTAGTCAAACCCTTTCTTACGATTTGCTTCCGAACCGTAGTACTGCAATGTGGCTTCGACAGTTTTGAAAATGCAAACCACATATCGCTTTAAAATGGCTACATCCAAATAGAAGCCATATGCTAAAGAAATAAATAAATCCAAACAGAATATTTCTTTAAATACTTACTTTTATTATCTTACTACCATAGTAGGCCAATCCACTGATGGCTACAGCAGAGTACAGGAAGTCCTCGACATACATCCATGAATGGGGGTGAGAATTTCCATTGTTAAGCAAGGTGATTGTTCAAGTGAGTCATGCCCGATTTTACAACCATTTCTGCCACAGTTGTTAAGAGCACCACTACAGTTGTTAAGTATCATGCAGTCATTAAGTGAATCTGGCTTCCCCCATTGACTTTCCTTGACCGAAGCCAACTGGGAAGGTTGCAAATGGTAATCGCATGACCCTGGGATGCTGCAACCATTGTAAATACAAGCTGGTTGCCAAGCACCCAAAGTTTGATCACGTGACTGTGGGGATGCTATGACAGTTGTGTGAGAACTTATTGTAAGTCACTTTTTCTAGCAGCATCGTAACTTTGAACGGTCAATAAACAAATGGTTAGAAGTTGAGGACTACCTGTAACAAATATTCCATCACATGCTAGTTTTGTTGTATACAGAAGAGATCTCTGTTATCAGTAATCCCTTTCCAATAATTCAAACAAAAGGGTAAGCAATGGAAAAAATATGAATAATCCTCAATAAGCAACATCACCTCCCACACCAAACTCTGGTTGAGAATTGTGTTCAGGGCTGAATGTATATTTGACAAACCCAAAAAGGAAGTGTAGTGACCCACAGATAGATTCCTGTGTCCAGAAAATACATATAAAAAGACTGTTCAATCCTTAACCAGGATTAGCAGGAGCCTGGGTGGTGGAGTGGACTAAAGTGCTGTTAAGTGCTAGTACTTAACTGCCAGCTGCCTGCAATTAGTGCAAGTTCAAATCTCACCAGGCTCAAGGTTGACTCAGCCTTCCATCCTTTCGAGGTAGGTAAATTGAGGACCTGGATTGTGGGGGCAATAAGCCAACTTTGTATAGAACAACACCACTTGGGGGGGGGGGCTGAAAGCCCTAATAAGCAAGTATATACAAAAAAGTTATTGCTATAATGCATTGTAAGCCGCTCTACGGAGAAGGGTGGCATATAAATTGGATAATAAATAAATAAATAAACCAAGGTACAACAGCTTTCACCCTTTGGATTCTAATTACAGGTCTATTTTGCTTACTTTCATAGAAAGATATTTAACCACAAAATATCCATGAAGAGGATGTTACAATTCACTATCCATCCATAAGAATGGCTCTCCATTCTATAATTGGATTAATATATTAATATATTACAATTAAGTTCCTTGCTGCTGCACTCATGTGTTGAGCAAAATCATAAACCACAGCCACCCTTGCTGAAATTTGACAACAAAGTTGAAAATTAATACTTTTTTCCCTCTGAAAACCCAGTAAAAAAGATTTATTAAACCTTTGGGGGGATTGTTAAAACAGTCTCCCCTATTAAAAAAAAACCCTGAAGAAATAAGAGCTCAATACAGGTAATCTTCATTTTACAACCATTCATTTAGCAATCATTTGAAGTTACAATGGCACTGAAAAAAATGGCTTACAATGGTCCTTGCACTTATAATCAAATGATCATGATCAAAATTCAGGGGTTTGGCAACTGGTATGTATAGTCGTATGTACATACAACGGTTACAGCATTCCGGGTCATGGTATTGCTGTTGGTGACCTTTGCAGCTGACTTCCGGAAAAGTCAATGGAGGAAGATGGATTTGCTTAATGACCACATGATTAACATGTAACAACTACCTTGCTTAGCAATGGAAATTCTGGTCCCAACTGTCGTCATAAATTGAGAACTACCTATATCAGCCTCTCCATCCCCTACAATGTTTTGCTGGGTAATTTCTGTACCATCTGCAGATTTCAGAAACCAACATTCCATTTTTAAAATTTTCTAAGATTCTAAAAACTTGCTTGACCTCATTATAAATTAAAATCAACTTGTATCTTACTAAAATTAAACAAACCACATTAAGGCTTGGCATAATTTGTAAACCTACCCAATGAAGGCACTTCATGTGTAGCAATCAGAATTTCATATAGGAACACACTTGTCATGTAAATTTCACAAATTGCTTTTACTGAGATTAGAAGGAAATGCACCACACTCTCACTAATTAATGTAACATTTCCTTTTCAGCAAAAGGCAATTTGAGATAATTGCATGAGACACTTTTAACTTAAACATTTCATCTATAATTTGAGTAAAAAACATAATTTCAGTGCTTGCCATATCACTATAGCAAGGTGCATACTGTACATCCAAACAATAAAACATAATTACTTTATAGCAAAGGCTAGGGCAATCAATTAGTGAACCAGAAAATGCTTAACACTCAGTAATGATTTAAAAAAAATTAATTACATCCCCATTTCTTGAAGTAGACATATAAATACTAATAAAAAAGACATTATTTCTCAAAAAGATAATTTATGGTTTAATCAGCTATTTCGCTCACCATCCTGTTGAGAAGTAGTTTCACTGATTTCTTCTGTAAGATATTCAAGTAAGCCATCAAATATTTCCAAGAGATTCCTAATAGACTCCTTATCTCCTTTCACAATATTTTCCCCTTAATAAAAACAAACAGTATTATCTTAGAAGAGAAATAAAAGGTTGGGAGGATGCAACTGAACTGGGCTAAGAGCAAAATTATCAAGTTCTGCTTAAAAGAGCACTCCTGATAAGTGAACCTGCCAACTTAAAACAGTAACTGCATATGTATTAGATTTTATTATGTTGGGAATGCTCATTCTAATGAAGAAAAGCTTCTTTCAGCAACAGGACAACATCCAAAATCAGTTTCTTTCATTCCAGACAACTTTCTCTGCCTAGCCTTCCTCCAAGAAAGGCAAGGCTGAAAGAAAAACTCATCATATAATTCACTATACAATAGCTGCCTCAAATCTGCATTGTCCAAAAAAACCCAGTAACCCAACATAAAAGTTGTAATACCAGCACAACTGAGGCACCAAGTTGAATGGGGGTGGGGGGGTGGGGGGTAATTAAAACCAGAGAATATTATTTCTGTGACTTGTTGAATCAGATCAGTGAAAAACATTAGAACACCATCTAATGGGACACCATCTAATCCATGATATGTTTATGAGTTTTAAAGGCTCATAACATATCCTTTTATTCTTCCCTCTATACCCATGTGCTTTGCCACAAAAGGGATACAATAATTGCTTTTGACCTGCATTTCAGAGTTTTGATGGGGATTGTTTTGCTACTTTGCTAAAATTGCTCTTTAGAGCAATTTACTTATAAGCAAAAGAAAAATAAAATGTCATAAAAAGTATCTAAGAATCTCCATATTGCAAATTTGAATAAAGAAACATCTAGCTTGAAATAAATTTCCATTGACCCAAAGTACGATCGAATGTATATTATCTTAAGACAAATGCCTATTTTTGTACCACAAAAATATGGTACATTTTTGCAACTTTTTTTAAATTTATACTCACCAGTTATATGCGACAAGCTGATCTGCAAGTAGTCCAGTGCCAAAGAATCTATCACCGCCTGCACATTATGAATATTGTCTTCTTGGCAAGTAGGAACAGCTATGAAATCTGTTAACAACTTTTTGACATTACTACTGTGCATTACAATATACTATGAAGTCAAATAAATGAACTGTATCTTAAATCTTTCGAAAGCAAGTAAGATTCCTCCCCTCCACACACACACATAAAGTGGCTTGTAGAAATGCATATAATTCTGAAGTGAACAATGAATTATTGCACAGAATGTAAAAAAATACTCCAGCATGGTATTCTCATGTCACTATCTGAACATTTTAAAAAGGCCTAAAAATTCTCTTCTCGCCCCTCTGGGTGGTCATAGCCCAGAGTATCAACACTGAGACCCCTTACACTTACTCCGCCTCCACTCTCTCTCTCTCTCACACACACCCCTCACATATGAGACAAAAGATAGCTTATCCACAAATTCAGAATTACGGTAGCTGAGGCTCTACTGTAGGAGATGACCAGGCTGAGCCCAAGGGCGGGGTCAAGCATGTCATCCGTCTGGAGTCTCTGAAAGAGACCTAAATCCAGCCCCTCTTGAAGTCAGTTGACTCTTATCAATTTGCCTTTAAGGTTAGTAGATGAAGTTCTTGTGCACAGGATGCATGGAATAAACTCACAGTGCTTTCTGAACTCTTATCTTGGCTCCTGGCTTCGTGTGTCTGACATCTACTTCATTGAGGCTCTACGTTACAGTATAGAGATTATTGTGATTTATAATTTTATCAGCTCAGACATGCTGCATTTTCCTTTAAATGCAGACGCAGTGAGGAAAATTAAGCTTATAAAATTAAGTTATTAAAACCTCAACTACAGATTTATGCCCAAAGTGTTTCAAATGTAAATATGGAACTGTTACCGTGCTGTAAGGATAATGCAAGATACATGCATTCTTACCAGGGACTTTTTCTCCTAATATTGATTCATAAAGATGAACAAAAACTTCAGCTCCACAGTCAGAGAGGCTATTAACTTGCAGATGTATGTTACATTTTGTCAGAAGATCATTGGCAACGTTGACCCAATCTGTTTTAAAATTACAAGAGAATGTGAAATGTTATGGTTTTAGAAAAAAGCAGAAGATGCATTAGCATAAGTAGGTATTCAGAAGACCTCTTTACCAAGCATCCCAATAAGGTTTTTTTATACTTTTACTAGGATTAAAAATAGAACTCAGCAACTTGAATCCAAATGTTGTAACCAAAATCTAGTAAATGACACTCTAATTCCCACAAATGAAATTGTGATTGTGGGGATATTTAGTTTAGTAAAACTGAATTTCAAATAAGTATTGTGTTTGATACTTATTGGAAATAATTGATTTTTTTCACCATTTTACCCAAATTTCTTTGAATTTGAACAAGAAAAATACAATTTAATTCTTCCATCTATTTTATAAAAAAAAACCGTAATTGTCCAGAAGTTATTAAACTACATCTCACAACGCTTTACCTCATGACTTTTATTGTTTTATCAATGTATAAAATACAAATAAAAATAAAAACTGGCATGTCCTAAATTGGCCATCTTTTCACCAGAAGTCCCATCTCACAGTGGAATAGTGCCAAAGGAAGAAGAGGCAAACTATAAGTATTACAAATGTGGCTTTTTCAAAGCCAGCAGTTCTCCAAAATACAATCCCAAACTGATTTGCCAGACTCTTAGCAACCACATAGCTCTTAATCTGGTTCTTAAATCTACTCAAAAATAATTCCAATAAAAATCAACGAGATCTATTTCAAACATAAGGGTATTTACTGGGTAGGATATTCTAAATCCAGAGCATAATGGCAGTCATGCCATTGTATGGAAGGAGGAGTAAGGAGTAAGAACAGATGGTCCTCCAGCTGTTTTTTCTTACAACCACCTATAACTCACCAAACCACCTCTAGCCAATTACATTGTGTGTAGGTTTTAACCTGGCTCAAAGATGTATTATTCTACATATTATGCAAATATAACTATTATAGTTAGTGGGTAAGTCATGAGCACAATCAGTGTCAATTTTGGATAAACAGGTTACACATACAATTTACCAAAACATTTTAAAATAGGGAAATCTATTTTAGAACATTAACAATTCTTCCTGCCTTAATGCAACAGGAGATTTACTTGTGTAATTACTACACTACACTTCAGTCAACAGTATAATCCGTTTCACCACAACCTACTACAGGCTTCGCTTCCTCTCCTCCGTTTTTAAAGTTACTATCCTGCAGGCTGACTTATAGCATGCCAGAGTGTCTTACTATCCTTCCCCCATTACTCCCCGAGAAAAGAGAATGGGCACTAAAACATAAACAGCATCAATATGTTCTTAAACTGCACTGTTCTTTAAGCAAGCAACTTTGCTCAAGTCTTGATGCTCATTCACACGTGCGCGGATCTTACGACACGTGTGGATTTTTCTCATCCTAACACGATTCTCCTCGTACGAGGTCCTGAGGAATTGAATTTTTTTTTAAAAAAAAAACAGGCTGTTTTGTGCAAGGAGGATGGCAACAGGAAAGCGTAAGCAGCATCAAGCCTCTCCTTTTGGGGAGACTGAATCCCACTCCCCAATCCCACCCACCTCTTTCCGCAGCAGAAGCCATTCCGCAACCCTTCACGCAAAAAACGCGCCCCCGCAGCTGAAACGCAGGACGCCAAAGCTTCGGCAATTTAAATCCTGCACCGTTCTCCGGACTTCTGCATGATGATTGGTCAGCCAGAAGCGGAAAAGGCGGGACTTCCTTTTGGCTTTACTCTCTTTCCCCCTCCCTCGCCTAGTTCAGGATGGGCTAATGCTGTTCAGTTATGCTTCTTATTGTTTATTTTCCGCCAAGATCTGTTTCTACGGCAACGAAGGGAGGGGGCGGATTATTAGCGAAGGCTTTGTTTTTTTAAAGCCCAAGTTCCCAGAGGGGGGAAAAAAAAAACAGAGGCCGCGCGCGCAACGTAAAGCCTCGAGCGGGAACAGGGCGCTGCTGCTCGCATTCTGTTAGTTAGGCTATTTGTCGTGAGCACGCCTGGCTTCCTACCCTCGCAACAATCTTGTGAGCTGCGGTAAGCTGAGATGCCTGCCCAGGGAGAGTTGTGGGAATCTCAGTATGGTTGACTGGCATCTAGCTTCTCCTGCAAAGATTTGAAACAAGAATTGGCATCCAGGGACAAAAATGCAAAGCCCCCCACACACATTTGCATTCTTAACCAGCTGTCTGCAAGGAGTATCAATCCTTCCATTCCCCACCATCAAGTCAGAGCTGAAGGAGCTTCTTGGATGAGAAGCGAACGTCGTCAAAGAAAAACCAGAAAATCCAGTTGCCTCTTTAAAAAAAAACAAAACACCTTTGGGATAACCATGACCTGGATGATTGAGTATCTCCATCGACACACACATTCTTTCTGAACTTAAGATCATCTGCTCAATTCTATGGCAAAAGCAACTGCAGAAGCTCCTCTTTCCACCAATTAACCTCCGTGCCCCTAATAAAGGAGAATATTTGTAGCTCAGGGTTGAAATGAGGGGTCCTTGGTGTTCTCTGAACTTGCTTGTTTTCCTGCACACATTTCATTATCCAAACTACCCAAACATCATGTTATCTAGTTTGAGTAATGAAATGTCTGCAAGAAAACAAGCAAACTCACAGCGCACCAAGGACCCCACCTAGCCCCTGTTTGGATGTCAAGACACGAACGGGAGGCCTGGGAAAGGCACCCATCCATCAACACAAGGTCAGAAATCCGCAAGTTTCAATCTTGAGTTGGAGAATGTTGGAGGTGGGCTGTTTGAACTTAGTTTATTCCTGGAAAAGGAGGAATGGTCCTGCGTGAGAAGTTGCACTGCCACAACATTAGTTTGGAGCAGGAAACAGAAGGGGGTGATTTATTTGATTCTTATTCCCCTGATATCTCAATAAGACAGCTGGAGCAGGAGAGCTGGCATACCTGAAGAACCTAAAGTGTAATATTAACTAAACAGAAAAACATCCAACCTATATACCAATCAATCACCACCCACACCTGACCCCTCACAAGACCCTCACATCAAGATCTACTTACCACATAAAGCCCTTATAAACAAGAACACCAACACTGACACCCTAAATTCTGTTGAAGATGTTACCTAGCCTAGTAACAAAACATTCAGAAACCAACCCACAAGCTTGGAGAATGAACCTCCACTCTCGCCAATCAATCTAAACAGAGCTGGAAGGGACCTTGAAGGTCTTCTTCAACCCACTGCTCAAGCAGGAGATGCTATACCATTTCAGACAGGTGGTTGTCCAGTCTTTTCTTAAAAACCTTCAGTGAGGAAGCACCTACAACTTCTGAAGGCAAAGTGTTCCACTGGTAAATTAATAATTGTTAATTGTTGCTTAATTGTGCAGAGGGCCCTGATCATAGCTATAAATTGTAAATAAATGTACCATTTATTGCTACAATTGAGGACCTTCTGCATGCCAAAAAAAAAAAAAAATCGGGGTGTGTCTGTGCGCACACAAAATGCAAACAGGTTCTGTTTTGAATGCTGGAAATGATGACAAACTGTAAAAAAAACCCTTTGGAATAAAACAAATTCTGGAGTGGAGTGATTTTATGGGATGAGTTGAGCTAAGTTGGTATAGGCATTGCCCTCCTCCCTCCCCAGCGCCTGCCCTCATCTGCCCTATGCTAGGTTGCTATTGAGGTCGCACTTCACTCCAATCTTCTGGATGCTTTCCCTCCCTCTCTTAAGCCTTTGCTAGCCAGGCAACGGCCCATGTAGCTGGTTTTTGTTTGCATGGTCTCAGAAGCAAAGAATAGGATTTCCGTGTAGCATATCCCACCAACCTGTCTTCTTCCAAGTGTTCACCTTTCCCTCTGTTTGGTGCCCCAGTCCTGTTACTGATTTTCTTGTTTTATTCCTGATACTTACTCCATTCATCCACTTCTGGGTGGAATAGCTGTATTCAAACCCAGAACAAAACAAACTTGTTTCGTTCCATCTGTAGGCAGTTCACTGGAAACACTTTTCCTTTCAGACATAGACTATCCAAAAACCAGATCTTCCATCTGTGAAGTGTTTGGTACATGGAATGTTTTGCAAAACCCTAAGATAAACAGTAGTTCAGTATAATAAAAATAATTTCTTTCATACAAGAGGATACAATGCATGCTAACTCCATACAAAAATGAAACAAAATCTGAACTGTTAGCATCCTGCATTTGGGTCTGTTAGAATCACCAACTTTCAGGTGATTGAAACAGTCAAGGATGTAGCATTACTAAAATTTGTTTGGCCCAAAGCTTACGGTATGTTCAATTATGCTACATGTTGATATTCATGAAAATACAGTAAGTAGAAATGAATAATACTGTAGTGTCTAAACACTCCAAAACATCTGAGATACACCAAACCATGCACACAATCTAAAAAAGTGACTGATGTGGTGAGATTATAGGTTTTTTAAAATTAGTACAGCACAGTAACCACAGCACAAGTTATAGAATTTTTTTTTTTATTGGCCAAGCGTGATTGGACACACAAGGAATTTGTCTTGGTGCATAGGCTCTCAGCGTACATAAAATAAAAGATACGTTCATCAAGAATCATAAGGTACAACACTTAATGATAGTCATAGGTTACAAATAAGCAATCGGGAAACAATATCAATATAAATTGTAAGGATACCAGCAACAAGGTTACAATCATACAGTCATAAGTGGGAGGAGATGGGTGATGGGAATGAGGAGAAGATTAATAGTAGTGCAGACTTAATAAATAGTTCGACAGTGTTGAGGGAATTATTTGTTTAGTAGAGTGATGGTGTTTTGGAAAAAACTGTTCTTGTGTCTAGTTGTTCTGTGTGGAGTGCTCTATAGCGTCGTTTTGAGGGTAGGAGTTGAAAGAGTTTATGTCCAGGATGTGAGGGGTCTGTAAATATTTTCACAGCCCTCTTTTTGACTCGTGCAGTATACAGGTCCTCAATGGAAGGCAGGTTGGTAGCAATTGTTTTTTCTGTAGTTCTAATTATCCTCTGAAGTCTGTGTCTGTCTTGTTGGGTTGCAGAACCAAACCAGACAGTTATAGAGGTGCAGATGACAGACTCAATAATTCCTCTGTAGAACTGGATCAGCAGCTCCTTGGGCGGTTTGAGCTTTCTGAGTTGGCGCAGAAAGAACATTCTTTGTTGTGCTTTTTTGATGACGTTTTTGATGTTAGCTGTCCATTTTAGATCTTGCAATATGGTAGAACCTACAAATCTGAAGGTCTCTACTGTTGATACTGTGTTGTCTAGTATTGTAAGAGGTGGAAGTATGGAAGGGTTTATCCTAAAGTTTACCACCATTTCTACGGTTTTGAGTGCGTTCAGTTCCAGATTGTTCCAGTCGCACCACGAGGCTAGTTGTTCAACCTCCTGTCTGTATGTGGATTCATCATTGTCTCAAATGAGACCGATCACTGTTGTGTCATTGCTGATGGCGACATCCGGGGCGGTGGGCAGGGCCTCTCACCAGTTTTACTACCAGTTTTTGCGAACTGGTCCGAACCGGGGGCAACCCACCACTGTTGCAGTGTCCCAAAGTCATATGATCAACTTTTGTGATTTTTCTGACAAAATCAGTGGAGAAGTCAGATTCACTTAACAACCATGTCACTAGTTTAACAATTGGAATGATTCAGTTAACAATTGTGGTAAAAAAAGTAGTAATATGGGGCAAAATTCACTTAACTGTTTCACTTAGTGACAGAAATTTTGGGCTCAGTGGTGGTCATAAGTTGAGGACTACCTGTGTTTTGCTTCTTGTAGGTGTTGAAAGTCCCATTGGAATCACTGTCAAGCATGAAAGTCCTACGGGTGTTGCTAATTGCTGCTTTTTGTGGTTAATACTTGCTACTGTTCGGTTTGTTCAGACTGTTGTTTTCAATCTGTTTTTCCTGCAAAAAATTAACAATCTTGTGTTAATACACTTTATTTCTAATTGTCTTTTTCCTGATTTGTCACATGGGAGCAGAACAGTATGTGCTTGGATTGTTTTAATTACATTGGTGTGATGTTGTTTAGCACTAAGGCTCCCTGAAATTGTAGTAATGAATATTCTGTGACTGTGATGCGACTGTAATTCATTGCTTAAGGGGAGCTATATGCTATTTTCTAATTCTTTTAGATTTATTTAACATCTATTGTGTTGTTCCAGATTTAGAATACTATGTCTGCTTGTTTTTTTTGTTAGGCTCAATCATCAATAAAAATATTGCTATTTTTTTTCTTAGTTGTATTATGTTTTCTTAAACAATATATTTGAGAAAGTTTTTTTCTTGTGTGATGACGTATTGCTATTCTTGTACTATTATTTTATTGCTGATGTTAGCAACTAAAATAGGTTAAGCAGAATATATAGCATATTATTAATGATCTGGCTCTTTAACCATGCACTATCACAACAATAATTAAATTACTTTGTATTAAATATACATATTGGCCTGTTGGACTGGGCATTCAGAAGGGCTGCAGTACTAATTTTAGTATAGGGCAGAAAGCTTTTGTTTTTTTAATAAATTTTCATGGCAGTCACATATTCACTATACTCTAGCTTTCCAAGCTAAAATACAGTGAAAAGAAAAGCAATCTGTTGACAATCTACCTATCATATTGCTGAATTACTGATCTCCCTCCACCTATTTTTTTTGCACAACAGCAACTCTGTAGAACAGACTGGGTTGGAATAGTGGGACTGAAAGTCCAGTGAGCTTTCATAATTGGGAATAGAATGGAATTGG